ATCTTCGGTACGACATTCTTCAACAGTGACGGTGGTGTGTGGAAAGTCTCGGACAAGTTTTGGATATTCTGGGTCGCGGCGGGCTTGGTCACTTTCCTCTCGTTTGCCATCTGGGTAGGGCTTGCGCCTTACTTTCGGCCGAAGCCGATTGACCCTACTGAGCGTCTTTTTCGGGCGTTGCCGCCGGAACAGGAGACTGAAGTAGATGAGAAGGCGATTGTTTAGACGGTTGTCGTGTGCATGGGCTATGTACGCATACCACGGAGTGGGAACATGGGCATTGTGTCGCAGCAGAACTAGCTTTTTTTGGGGGGGGGGGGAGATGAATCCTAATCTTGCCTGGGGAGATTGATGTATCAAGGATTTAAATTGTCAACAGGTTGCAGACTGTCAAGTTGGTGTAGAATTGTATTTCCTGTTCAGAGCGGAATTTGAAGCGGCCATTTAATATCTGGTTTGACGACGGTGCTAGGGGTATATATTAACTAATTCCCCTCATCACCTCCTTCGCGTGCCAAGATGGGCAAGGGTAACGGGTAGTTGGACTTTTGGTCGGCTTTGTTAGCAGGTCCTGAAATAGAGTCAATGACCAGTAACCCTAACCCTGTGAATTAGGACAAATCTCCATGTGAAAAGACGGGCACTTGGGCCGGTTCCACATGCATTAAATCCGGCGCAACAAGGTGGTAACATCTGGCAATGCTGGCCCCCAGGGCCTCAAGCGGGACACTGGCGCCATGCCTGGGTCTGTGATGAACAAAAACACTCGCTTTCGTCAAAGGCTCTACTAGAAGACCATGGTCGAGCCTTCAAAAAGAAATACGCAAGTCAGTCGTCTTGCGAGGTGCGAGAAAGAATCATGGCGCAGAGATCGGCGGAGTCCAAGCATGTGAAGCTAGCCAGGTTCACAAGGGCTCCCAATCGGGCCTAGCGCCCTCCGCATCTGTCACCCCTCCGCACCCGCCGAGCTGCTTCAGCCGAGGCACTGGAACTCGCTTTTGCCGCCGAAGTTTGCTGCCGAAGACAAAGCATCCGCAGCATCTCCAGGCCGACGGTTGAAGCCAAAACGTCACCTGCTCTGGTTCTCCCGACCTCCGTTCTTCTCGGCTTCTTTTCCTTTTTATTGCCCCTCCCCCATCTTCCCCTTTCAACATCTTCATCATTATACCCTCTGCATCTCTCCCTGTCTCTCTTCTCTCTTTGCCTTGTCCGTTTGCTGTGGTTGAAGCGTCCACGGTAAAACCAGCACAGAGGGACTCTCATCTCCACATTCCACCACACTCCATCACACAATGGCCGAACAATTGAGATTCGACGGCCAGGTCGTTGTTGTCACCGGCGCTGGCGGTGGTCTCGGCAAGGCCTATGCCCTCTTCTTCGCTTCGCGAGGCGCCAGTGTCGTTGTCAATGACTTGGGAGGTTCGTTCCAGGGCGAGGGTAACTCGACAAAGGTGAGATCTTAGACGCCGTGGTCAGATTTCGCATGCGGACTGCAAGCTAACCCGGGCAATTGCCTGCAGGCTGCCGATGTCGTTGTCGACGAAATAAAAAAGGCTGGCGGCAAGGCTGCGGCCAACTACAACAGTGTCGAGGATGGCGACAAGATCATTGAGACGGCCATCCAGGCCTTTGGCCGTGTTGATGTCGTCCTCAACAACGCCGGTATCCTCCGAGACATCAGCTTCAAGAACATGACCGACCAGGACTGGGACCTCATCATGAAGGTCCACGTCAAGGGCGCCTACAAGGTCGCTCGTGCCGCCTGGCCTCATTTCAGAAAGCAAAAGTACGGCCGCGTCATCAATACTGCCTCTGCCGCCGGTCTGTTCGGGAACTTTGGCCAGACCAACTATTCGGCTGCTAAGCTGGCCATGGTTGGTTTCACCGAGACTCTTGCCAAGGAGGGAGCCAAATACAATATTTTGAGCAACGTTATTGCTCCTATCGGTACGTACCGAGGTTCACTTTGCGAACAAGGAAAAATTGAAAATTAAGAAATGTTTAAAAAAAATTATGAAGCTAACACATGTGATTTTTCAGCTGCCAGCCGAATGACTTCCACCGTCATGCCTCCAGATGTCCTCGAACAGCTCAAGCCTGAGTGGGTTGTTCCCTTGGTGGCAGCTCTTGTTCACTCCGGCAACACGACTGAGAACGGTGGCATCTTCGAAGTCGGAGGCGGCCACGTCGCCAAGCTGAGATGGGAGCGTGCCAATGGTCTGCTCCTCAAGGCTGACGACTCCTATACCCCGAGCGCCATCCTCAAGAAGTGGGATCAGGTTGTCGACTTTTCCAACAAGCCCCAGTACCCCTCTGGTCCCAACGACTTCTTGACTTTGCTCGAGGACTCCATGAAGATGGGCCCCAGCGAACAGGGTGACAAGATCGACTTCACTGGCAAGGTTGCGCTGGTCACTGGTGGTGGTGCTGGTATCGGCCGTGCTTACTGCTTAGCCTTTGCCAAATATGGCGCCACCATAGTCGTCAACGATCTCATGAACCCCGACGATGTTGTCAATGAGATCAAGAAGGCTGGCGGCAAGGCTGTCGGTGTCAAGGCTTCCGCTGAGGACGGTGACACTGTTGTCAAGGCTGCCATTGACAACTTTGGCCGCATTGATATCATTGTCAACAATGCTGGCATCCTCCGTGACAAGGCCTTTACCAACATGGACGATTCCCTCTGGGATCCCGTCTTCAACGTACACTTGCGTGGTACCTACAAGGTCACCAAGGCTGCCTGGCCATATTTCCTCAAGCAGAAGTACGGTCGTGTCATCAACACCACCTCTACCAGTGGTATCTATGGCAACTTTGGTCAAGCCAATTATGCTGCCGCCGTAAGTCATTTCTTATTTTCTTATTTTCCAAGCTTGTTGCTAATATGACCTTGTTAGAAATGCGGTATTCTCGGTTTCTCCCGAGCACTCGCCATCGAAGGCCAGAAATACAACATCTTTGTCAACACCATCGCCCCCAACGCTGGTACTGCCATGACGGCTACCGTCATGCCCCCCGAGATGGTCCAGGCCTTCAAGCCCGACTACATTGCTCCTCTCATCCTCGCTCTCTGCGGCGACAGCTGCCCTGACCCCACTGGTGGGTTGTATGAGGTCGGCAGCGGCTGGTGTGGAAAGACTCGCTGGCAGCGAACCGGTGGTCACGGGTTCCCTGTGAATGTCAAGCTTGTCCCTGAGGAGGTTGTCAAGCACTGGAAGGACATTGTCAACTTTGATGACGACCGTGTGGATAACCCTGAGAAGACTCAGGATTCTATGATGAAGATTATGGGCAACATGGGAAACGTTGTTGAGAAGGTATGAGAGCCCTCTTTTCTTTTTGTCTATGTTGACCCTTGACGACACTTTTGTACAAAAAATAGTTAGGATTAGACGTGTAAATGGAAATGAACACACCACAAAACAAAACCTCATATCTATTACAAAGAACCTATTTGCTGATTTGTGAATTTCTTTGAAAAAGGTTGATGAACCCGCCGCCAGCAACGAGTACCTCGATGCCATCAAGGCCGTCATCGGCAAGGAGGGCCCTCCCGTCGAGTTCAAGTTTGAGGAGCGAGACTCGATCCTGTACAACTTGGGTCTTGGTGCCAAGCACACTGAGCTGAAATATGTCTTGTGCGTGATATATACGTCTTCATCCTCTCATCGATGAACTAAGATATACTGACTCTGTCATCTACAGTGAAGGGGCTGAGGACTTCCAGGTGCTCCCGACTTTTGGCGTCATCCCCATCTTCACCGCCGAAATGCCCTTTGACTTTGGCAGCATAATCCCCAACTTCTCGCCCATGATGCTTCTCCACGGAGAGCAGTACCTCGAGATCCGCAAGTTCCCTCTGCCCACGAGCGGCACCCTCGAATCCCGCGGCAAGCTCGTCGAAGTCGTTGACAAGGGCAACGCCGCCGTCGTCAAGACCGCCCTCACCACCGTCAACAAGGAGACTGGCGAGGACGTCTTCTACAGCGAAATGACGGCCTTTGTCCGCGGCAGCGGTGGCTTCGACGGGCCCAAGAAGGGTCAGGATCGCGGCGCTGCTACCGCCCCGCACGCCATCCCCAAGCGTGCTCCTGATGCCGTCGTCGAGTCCAAGACGGACGAGAACCAGGCTGCTATTTACCGTCTCAGCGGCGACTACAAGTATGCGTCATTCCCCTTACACATCTGGCCAGAAAACCCCTGCTAATGCGTAGCGACAGCCCCCTTCACATCGATCCCTCCTTTGCCAAGATGGGCGGTTTCAAGCGCCCCATTCTTCACGGTCTCTGCTTCTTCGGTGTCGCCGGCAAGGCCATCTACGAGACCTTTGGCGCCTTTAAGAACATCAAGGTCCGCTTTGCTGGTACTGTCGACCCCGGCCAGACCCTCATCACGGAGATGTGGCGCGACGGCAACAAGGTCATCTTTCAGACTAAGATTAAGGAGACTGGTAAGCTGGCTATTGGTGGCGCGGGCGTCGAGCTGCTCGATGGCGGTAACAGCAAGATTTGAGTTGGGGAATATGTAAAAAAGAGGAAGAACGAGACGTGTGAACATTGCTTTATTGGGAGGAGGGATTATGCAAGCACTGGATGTCATGTATCATAATGAATTTGTTTTGTATTGTAGATGATTTATTTGGATGCATTTTTTGCCTTTCGCATGGATGGTGCTTGCACATGCTGATATCGGCAGACACAATCACATGTGAATTATGCCTGACCTCGTTCCAACTTGGTAGCGCATTTTGTTATGTATTATCGGCTTCCTATCATCAAGTGACCGCTGCAAAATGCAATCATTATAACTATAGTAGTGTACCAGTGTGTACGTGTGGCTTCCCATCGTCCCATAATTCAACAGCCCGGTACTCCGTAGACACATACCACCAAGCCCGTCGAGCAAACGCCATCATCCCATGTCCCAGAAGAATATTTCCGTTCAATAAAAAAAAAAAGCCTACATGCAATAATGCAAATCCAGAGGTAATACTGGCTGTGTCAAAAGTAAATCGCTTCGACAAGAAGATCAAGAAAGTCAGACAAAGTCGGGGAGGTCCCATTGGTCAATAGCTGGTCGATTCTCGAGTTGGCGTTCCTTGATGCCACACCCGTCTCGAGATACGCCATTTCGGCGCCAGACAGTTCCCGCTTCTCCGTCTCCCGCCACTTCTTCTCGGCCACCTCACGGGCCTCCCGTAGGACTGTGTCGATGTCCTCCGACTCCCAGAGGTTGCACCTGTCGCATTGCGTGCAGGGCCGCGGGTCGCCATCCGGACGGAAGTGGTCGCAGAAATGGCGGTATCCCTCGTCGCTCAAGTCGGCGCGGCACACGTAGCACATCTTGTATCCGCACGGGCAGGTAAGCTTGTTACAGCCCGCGTTTTTGACAAAGGACGTGTTGCAGCGCGGGCACACGCGCTTGATGGCCATGCTCATGGCTTGCTCGACCTGCGTTCGAAGCGCCAGGAGGGACGACTCGTTGCAGACGTGGATGTCGGTCCACGCCTTGTGGCACGACAGGCAGGAGACTCTGGCGCATTTCGGGTTCTGGCACGAGAATCGAAGGCCGCGGCGCCGCCGGCAGTGCCTGTGGACGGCCTTGTTCCACTCCGCGCCAATGTCTCGCCACACGTTCTGCTCTACGCTGACGGCGACGCAAATCAGCGCTACCACAAGCGCAAAGGGGGAGATGACGATCAAGGCGCCTATTACAATGGAGATGACGACCAGGTTGTAAAGGTTTCTTAGTTTGAAGCGTAGCCGCGTTTCGCGTGAGGGGAGATAGATGTCGTCGATTTCGGCGTAGTTACAGAACGGGCAGTGTATCAGCGGAAGCTTGGATGCCACGAGGCTGTGCTCGGCCAGTCGTTGGTCCAGCTTGTGAAGTATGTCTGCTCCTGATTTTTCCTCTATGAATGCTCGATGAATATAGTCGGATGAAATGTGGCCCGCACACCCGCCGCCATCGACTGCTAAGCACTTCAGAGTGCCGGTGTCGGTGTTGATATTGCTCAGCCATCCTTGGCCGAACAGGGCTTCCTTAATGGAGCTTTGGACGCATTTGTAACAAATCATGTGCCCGTCTCTGCTGCAACTTGTAAACTCTTCAAAACTGTAATCGATGAAACAACAGGCACATTCATGCGTCGCAGATGCCGCTTCTGCCTCTTCATTGTTGAGCAAAACAGCCAAAATCCGGTCTTTGACTTCTCGGTCATCCTTCATCTTTTGCTTCAGAGGCCGGATGAGTGTATCGTATAGTTCGCGGTCCAGCTCGGCATTTCCAGTCGTCCTGACGGTGGGCGTGATGGAACCCTGGCCGGTTGATCGCCATACCACCAGGGGGTGATGCTCTGCCTCCCCCGTCGTCAGGGGTTTCCGCCTCAAGAGGAGTGACTGTATCGTAAACCGCCAGGATTTCGAAGACAGTGTAACCAGCGTCCTTCGGGCGTCCAGGTAGGAGTGGTTGGACTCTGCGAGCACGGCGTTGACGGTAGACTTGGAGAGCCCGCGGAACTCGTGTACGGCCAGAGTCCTCACGGCCTGTATGTATTCTTGGCTCCGAAACATGTCACTCTTGGGCAGTGAAGCGGCGGCAGCTTCCTGCTTGTCCACAACCTTCCACCTGCCCTTGACCCAATCGACTCGATTCTTGAGCAGCGCATTTGCTACCAAAGCCAGTCTCGACTCGCCGTCAAAGTTGGACAGCAATTCTCTAAAGACCTCGATTTGAATGTCGGGGAACACGGCGGCAAGCGCTTCAAGGCTCGTGTTGAGCTCTCGCAGATTTGGCCGTTCCGGAGGTACGCACGGGAGCTGGGCTTCGTCGACGATGTATTCTGGCAGCAACTCGGTCTCCTGGGTAGGCTTCGACCGACTGGCCGAGGCCTTGTCGGAGGAGAGAAGGCCGATGAACACCATGGTGATGTATCATTCTGGTGATGAGAGCATATCGGCAGAGCCGCGAGCAGATTTCGGATAGTCGACGATCGCTAAGGAAGGCGGCGTACGTGAATGTGAATATTATAAGGGATTTTACGGGTTGAGATGTCAGATTCACGAGGCGACATCTCACCCAGTTCGCTGGTTGGCGTGGGGCTTCCGCGCGTCAGCTGTCTCGGCGCTAGGATAAGCTTAGGAGCAAGGGAGACCCATATTAATTGTTGGGGTGTTTTCTACTCCGTGTTTGTTAGTTACCTGGACAAACCATTCAGATGAGGCACCCGCAGTATACATATGCAAAAATAAATCAGGAATTATGCACCATGGTTCGATTCATAAGACCCTTGTGTATCTCCACACGTCAGTCGTGGCTATTTGCGGACCCAGAATTCGGGTAGCCATGGCGAAGAAAAGAGCTCCTGCCATCTGAGGACCATCACGCCAACCTCTCACTACCGAAAAGAGTAATCGAGGGTGGACATTGTCTTCCCGATATCAAATTGACATTGCAAAAATTTACTATCTTGCTTGTCGCGTCATCCGGTGCTGTGGTCGATCATTCATTCATGTTGCTGGCACTACCCCGTGCTCATTCCAACGGACCAAAAAGGAGTCAGTCCTGGCAGCAGCACTCTGCCTGTCTTAATTCTCATAATCTCGAGACCGAGCCCCAAGCACCACAAACATTCATTCTCCACATGAATAAACCAAGGTTACGCGTGAACTACAATATACAAAAACAAAAAGAAATCGACGGGGTCTGGCCGGGGATTGAACCCGGGACCTCCTCTATATTCAATTCTAACGAATTGGGGGAGTAACCCGAAAGAGGAATCATACCACTAGACCACCAGACCGGCGAATTAGATGCTAGGTTGGGCCATATTTGCGATTATAATATGGAGCAAATATTCTCCACTGTGATCCCTCTACAGCTGCCTGAGCCCGTTGGCGACATTGCCTGCACTACAAACTTCAAAGCTTTTTATTTTCATCAAGATTTCGGGTGATTCGCATCCAAAGGGACAATGGGCCTGTTCTTTCTTTAACCAAATTAGTAAAACTCATCCGGGAAACGGCCAATCGCCTTGGTATTCTGCGTTGAGAGAACTGCAGCTGGAGAGAAGAAACACCCTTGTATGGCAACCCTTGTATGGCGAATTTGTTAAAGCCTCATCCGGGTTTGATGACGACCTGGAGGCAAACATCCTACTGTCAACTTCTCTCTGTCGACACAATACACTTAATGTCCGCCCCATCACTTGACTCGCCTATCTCCTAATTTGGCTATGTCTTTGCTCCGCAAGCGACCGGGGACGATTCGTCGGCAATGGACTCAGATTGGACACCCGAGGTTACCGATGCAAGCGAAATTTTGGTGATATTGTTTCATGTAAAGGAGTGGTTCTGTGGCCTTCCCGGAATCCCGGAGCGTATGACCGCTGAGTTCCCAACTTGATGACAGGCTTTCATTGCCCCGATAGCGAAGTGGCTCGGATGAGCAGCATCAGGCTCTACGCCTACGCATCGCCCTATTTATTGGCTATATTTATGAGTATATTGAGACAACTAGGGGAGCCGGGATTTGAGAAGCAGCTTGCGGAAGAATATTGGCCATCTCATTCTGATCAGGTACCAAGAATCAGGAAGGCTGATCCATCATCTAGGCACATTTGGGTGTCAACACTATAAACATATCTCACAGCACATGGCGGCTGAGCATATATAAACAGTGCCCATGGAATAACACAGCGCTGCCTATTTGGTTAACACCTCGGTTACACTCTTATTCTTGACTACGCGGCAGACGAATAGGAACGAAGGCAGTGTAGTGACAGGCGCTTAACTACTGATTTATATACTCCCCTGACGTGCACTTGTGCCAGGGTATTAAGAACAGGGTTCACATCAGCACTGGTAAGCGAAGGTTTGTTTAAAAAAATCCGACTATATTGTTTTGTAGTTTGACTTCTCATAGTATAGATTCGGTATCCAAGCTGCCTGCCCTTGTGATCTGAGTGTTGAGTGAGGTAAGAGTACCTTCCGGATGATCAGTTCTTGATGCCCCTTAAGACTGAAACATGACGGCACGCTTCTCTCTGTTGTTTCCCTTGCTAGAGAATGAGTTGCCCTTTTTGGCCTCGTTGGTCGAGGTGATATCGTTACCACTGCTTGCATTTTCCCCGTTGTCGGCTGCCCCGTTGTTGGCTGCCCCGTTGTTGGAGTTATTACTATTGCCAACGTCCGCATTGCCCCCATTGTTGGAGTTATTACTATTGCCAATGTTCGCATTGCCTCCATTGCTGTTGGAGGCATTCCCGCTACCTCCAGCTATCTCGCCATCGGTAGCAGTCGAATTGGCACCGCTACCAGCCATCTGGAACGCAATCACGCCGCCAAAAGGGCCAGCGCCGCTAGGATTGGCAACCTTTAGGAGACACACATTGGACATGCCGCCCATGGAGCCTTGGCAAGTAGTCCCAGCCGGAATAGCAACTTTGAGAGGCTACATGGATATCAGTCTGTGTCCACGGTGTGTAGATGGAGGTGTGGGTGAGGCTACTCACATGATCCGTGTCGACGTTGGACGCTCGTTTCCCAAGCAGATTGCCAATCAAGCCGCCGCCACCACCACCTTGGCCGTTCTGTGGGCGGTTATTGCTCTTTGGACCAGGGGCAATATTTCCGTTTCTTCCCGGAACCTGTGTCATCACTTCTGCCTCGGTGCCCTGCGAAAACTGACCGGTTCCCGAAGGATCAATGATGGCTCTCACGGGGCCAGCCCCATCCTGGTGACGATGTCAATACGCATTACGACTCCATAAAGTATGTGGGAATATTTACATACGGTAGTCACAATATGGTAAGTCGCAGAAATGTACCCGCCATTGCTGCTAACCTGGGGGAGAGTCGAGCCAGACATGGCGACAACGCGACTCATAGCTTCAAGGGTATTCGCGCCATTGCCTTTGGTTCGGCCCAGGCCATCAGAAGCCGCATTTCTAGAGCGGAAAATGGTCGTATCGGGCTCGGTTTGCCGGTTAGGGCCTTGCCCCGGCACAACACCGCCCATGATACCAAGGGCTGTGGTGTTGCCGCCCGCATCGCCTGTCTGGACAAGGTTATCAGAAATGAGTTGCTTGTTTGCAGGATTATGCAAAAGCTTACAGCAACGCTAATCTTGCCGTGGGCTTCGACAAGAGTGGAAGTAAAGGCCGCCAGGGCTACGTAAATGGTTGAAGAATGCATCCTGATGCAATTATGTTGAAGAAAAAGGTGTAGCAAAGAGTTTTGATGACAGATTAAAAGAGGCAGAACAGATATCGGAACTAAGAATGAACTGATGAGAATATCTTAGAAACGCAAGTCTTTACTGGCGATCCTCTACTCTATTTATATTATTAATTTGTCCTGCCGAGATCTCTTCCATTGCTGGAAACTTGGGTATACGGATGATCGGCACAGCTATTCTTGGTTGCCGCCTGCGGAGGTGTTTCGATGGTTTTAGTTCTTAAACACACTAACCCCGACAACAAGACAATTGATTGGTAGACAAAACAGAAGCGATGTCTTCTACAACATTGATGGGAATCTGTAACAGTGGCCCAGGACGGCGACTTCTTGCACTGGTTCGGATCTTGCGTAGTAATGGTGTATGGTTACGCAAGTCAACTGGTTGGTTATGAATGTCACGTAAATTGTGGTCGCCGGTTATGTCGGCATCGCGATGTGTTGCGTGAGGCCACTAGTTGCTTCATGAACTGCCGATAGCGGGCAAAAATAGCTTACAGATGAACTTGACCCTTTTTATGAGACCTACAGAGGCCGCTACAAGAGGTCAAGGCATGAAAGCTCAACGATGCCTTGAATTCAGCAGCACTACCGACTTCTTTTGTCTCTGGGAGCTTTGGCGGAGAGAATGCCAGCATATTTTCGTCTCTTCCTTCATCCAAACTAATCCGCGCTTGCTGTGGACCATGTGTGTTTTCCTCCGCTGACAAAACTACCGGCATAGAAGGGCGGTATTGGCATGTCCGGGCGTTTACCGGACATAATGTAGACAGACTGCCAATCTGGGGTCCCTAGTCGCAGATCACGAGAAACGGTTTGTGTTTCTTGTGTGAACTCCAGACGAGTTGTGCTTCAAGGGATTGGGGGGTTGGGCGTCTGTTTTCGGCCGGCTGGCACTAGTCGACGATTCAACAACTCCTATTGGCTTGGTGAGTTTCTGCAACTACGTGCAACTAACTGGGCAGGATTGACAGGTTCCGGGAGGATTCACCTGCAGTTCGTCTCAAAGTGGAGCAGGAGTCATGGTCCCGCCTGAAACTGCCGAGGTACCGGCAGATCCGGGCAAACCCACGATACTAGCCTGTAGGAGGATTGTTTGGTAAACAGTTGCAATGAGGCTATCGGGAGACGACGGTGCGCACCTCAGCCGATGCCGATGCCCGAGCTTGCCCCGTTAAGATCCTACTTGGCGAAATAATATCCGAGATCTACTTGTCAACCTGGTTGCGGAATGGTGTAAGATGATTGGCCGCTCGCCGTCGATTCCATTAAAAATCAGCAGCCCCTGTGTGGAATCCTCAGTGCTGGTTCCCAAAATAGTTACATGTCAATAGCACGGAGTGCCAGACTATTGGCTGGTTGTTGCCTACTTAGTGATACCCCGCACGCTGATCTGGCAGGCGCGGTCCACTGAGCACTCTGGGCGTCTGCCAACCGCCCAACTGTACTCTGAGATCTCATCATGTCTTGCGTCACCTCAAAGCCGAGCAGCCAGCCGCCAACAGTTCCCAATGGCCCTCGAGCTCAGCTCTACATCCATCCTGGCATCCAAAAAAACTCTGCTGTGATAAAATACTACCGTCGACGTCACCCCTTGCTCTTAGATCGGTGGTGCAAAGGGCAGCATCAGCAAAGTCCGGGGCCGAGCAATTAGCAGAGCAGAATCCTACATTGCTGGCGAAAGCATCATAACTTTGAGATCTAACGAAAGGGCTCAAATTCCTAGATAGAGTGAATACCAAGAACGACTCCAATCCTCAATGTTAGTAGCGGAGGATCATAGCGGCTACTTTATGACAAAGTAGTTACAATATAGGAGAACAAAGATAATAACTTCAACTGTATATTAATTTATAACTTGTATTTACTTTTGGCAAGATTTCTCTGCTTTATGCGCGCTTGTCTGGGATATATTGCCAACCTGAAGAACAACGCCCATACCCACCGCCTGATGCCATAAAACGTGGCAGTGAATGAGCCATAGGCCAGAATTATCTAGCGGAAATCGCAAAATGACATAACCTCGTGGTTTTATATAGACGGTATCTTTTTTGAGCGCCGTGTTTGTGTTCACACGGTGCGCGCTGTGGTCGCCTTCAAACGGATTGTACGGACGGCCAAGTTCACCCTGCCGTGAACTTAGAACATAATATTCGTACCCATGCTAACTTGGATTAGTACGCATCTTCATAAATGCTCGGCTGAATACTTACCAAGTGGAATGGGTGGCCCTTGTCATCGACATTGTTCACCACCAAGTCGAACCAACGGTCTTCGCCGGCTTCATATCGAGGAACGCGAAACGTTCGGAGGGGATTCGCCTGCTCCGTACCATTTTCCCACTCAGTTCTATCAATTGCCAGTAGAGGTCTTGCTTGGGGGTCTTTCCACGTCCACGATGTGTGATTGAGCTCACCCCACGGTTCATCGTTCTTGAAGGAATTGATGCTCAAGCTAGTATATAGCAAAGCGACTTCGACTGGGTTTTTTCGAAGGGGTGCATCCTCGGGTATGAGAAGCCCCTCGGCATTTTGAATATTGTAGATATCAACCTTGGGAGGGTTGCCTTGCCGTTGATGTTCTGTCTTTGCGGACGGTATCCATGAAAGAGAAAATGATTGCATCCGGGTGAGCGCCGGATTCATTAGTTGCATTAATCTGGTGAGATGGATGAGAGTTAGCAGAAACAAACTTGGACAGAAGGAAGAAGAAGGGGTGAATCTCACTCTAGATCAAGTATTATCTTCATAGTTGAATTGTGAGGTTTGTTCCTATTAGGCGATGCTTCGTCGGACAGTAATAACACATCCATACGCTCCCCCGGATAGAGAACACCAAGTGTAGACGATTGCGGTGTAGATCTCGATACGGCTGTGCCACCATCAACTGTTATGAGCTGAAAACTTGCGCCCTCGAGCTGCAGCGAATAACCAGCTGAAGCACCCGTGTTGACTATGCGTAACCGGACAGCCTTGTTACCAGGAACCTTGACTTCAGGAGCGTCTGTCTCGACGCAGTCGACTGGTTTCCCTGGCCTCGCATTGCTACAGTTGTAGGAACCAGCACCATTGATCAATAATGAATCTGGCACAGGCTGTAATCAAGTTGTGAAAAGGCTGCCGACCAGGTAGGGGGGCATGGATCTGCTAACCTCGTAGGCGAAATTTCGAAAATCCTTGTATTCGGCAAGCACTCTATCAGCCGGCAAATGGTACCAATCGCCAATAAGCAACATCTTCTCGCTCTCATATCCATAGAGAGAAGCGTCGCTTTGAACTGCCCTGCTGTCTGCCGGCTTGTGTACCACTAGCCCGCCGTACAAGCCATCCGCCCGTTTGACGGCCGAGTGCGCATGATACCAAAACGTGCCATGTTGCTCTTTGTGAATTTCAAACTTGTAAGTATATGACTGGCCCGGAGAGATGCTGCATTGAGTTACCCCGACGACCCCATCCATGTCGTTGAAGCCTATTGACAGTGTAAGTGGTCGAGGCATGGTCAAACAAGGGGCAGGCTCACCTTTCATCAGTAGGCCATGCCAGTGGACTGCAATGCCATCATGAGTGTCATGGGCGATCCCATTGGCAACAGTCACTTCGATTGTATCGCCCGATCTTGCTTCTATGGTCGGGCCCGGAAACTGGCCTGTCCACGGTCAGCGCGGCCAGGACTCAACTCAGGAGCAAGGGAAACCAAGAGGCAATGAAAATGTACGGACCGTTGATGAGGTACACATCCTTAAGTACTCCGTCCGGCCTGCGTGCTTCTCTGGTGATATTCCAGCCCAAACGGATTGTGTGTGGCGCGCGAAAGACGTGTTGCTCCGGATGCAGCGCGAATGAATCATCCTCAAGTTCTCCGTAGTGAGACAAGTTGCCGTCCGTACCATGGCTAGTTGCTGCTAATTGTCGGGAATTTGTCAAAAAACCAACGTCGAGATGCTTTAAAACAATGACGAAGAACAGAGTTAAGCCAGTAAAGGTGAATACCGTCAAAGAAACCCCCGTCAGCACACGCCATGGGCTCCTGGGCGCAATGTTGACCATGTCTGGCGGTTGACTTGCAACTCTCGAAGGACTAGGTCTTGAATTTTATGCCAAACGTGGCTGGTAAGAGAAGTAAAGGAGAATGTACATGGCGGCTTTTAAGTATCTGCAAGGGAGGATACACGCGAGGAACCTTGGAGACACGGAGTATCACCAATGCAATTGTAATGTACAACCAGGAACAATCCCAGCTATCCATTGCTACATGGACTCTGATGGCTATCAAATATCTGAAACAACCAGTACACATGGCCAATGGCGGACCGGAGTGGCCGAGACCTGTTGGGTATTTCCGGGAGGATCTCCGGGCAACCCCTGTATTCCAAGCCGCAGGTCAATATGAAGAAGGAACTGGAATTCGAAAAGATTATTATGATTTAGTGTGGAATTTACTCGCATCACCACGGATGGACAGTCGCGTCGAGGCTTTTTAAAGGAGCCCGGCCACTCCTTCACAGGAGAATGCAACAACGTGCCTTCTCAACGCATTGAGACCGTCTGCGACAGAAAATCAGTTTGGACAATGACTTCTGAGATTGTATTATAATAACACACGTGTTGCTCACAGATGCATCTGCGTGGAGTTGCTAAAGTAAGTGCTCACCGACTCCATTGTTGGAAAACCCAAAGCCGCCAATTTTGCCAGTCTTATTTTCGGGGAAGAGGAAAAGAGCCCATCATGGCGGTAAGACTTGCCGAGTTCATGACGATGTACAAAAGGCTATTCCGGAGTTGTTTCCTCGTCTCATCCTGTCGGTGTCCCAGCCGGTTTGAAGTTTCAAAATGGCGTGCAGGAATAACATGAAATTTCAGTGGAACTTTGAGTCAACGTGTAACTCGCTGTCCCTTCACAGATCATTTCTGTGAGCAGCATTACGGCGACGCCTCTGACGATCAGAAAACTGCGAGTGGTCGTTTCGCTTCACCATGTGGCATTCAACGCTCGGCTTGACGCTGATGGCTTCGGCCGTCACTGTTCAGGCCGATTCACTCAAAGACATTAAACACATCATCCTGTTTATGCAGGAGAACAGGTCTTTCGACCACGTATGTCCTCACCACAGGTCTGTTACACTGAAGACTCGAGAGCTTGCTGCTGAGACTATGCCCAGTATTTTGGCACCATGGCCGGGGTTCGCAACTTTGGTGACCCCAATGTACAAGTCAACGATGGCACTCCCGTCTGGAGACAGTGAGAAGGTCCCAGTCCATTTCCTGTTCCTCGTCTAATCGCTGCAACTACAGATCGATGAGACAACCCAAGGCCGGGGTCGACTACTTGTCACCGTGGCACATCAACTATCTTGGCGGCGACTGGAGAGAAGCCACGCAGTGCATGGGAGGAGGAATAAATAGCTGGGAAGCCATGCACGGCTCTTACAATAACGGTCGAGGCGACGGGTGGGCGATACATGACACAGACTACAGCATGGGCTACTATAAACGCGAGGATGTGCCCACGCACTGGGATATTGCTGAAGGTTGGACAGTTATGGATAATTCCTATCAGAGTATCCTCGGTCTTACCGATCCCAACCGCGTCATGTGGATGAGCGGAACTGTCAATACTGCAGGCTCCTATACCAATCCCGATGGCCAGGGCGGCAATATTCTATCCAACCGTGCTAGTCCTGGCTGTGACTCTCCTGGAAACAATTGTTTTCCGTTTGTCTGGAAGACTATGCCGGAGTACCTTGAAGATGCCGGCATCTCATGGCAAGTCTGGCAGGACTTTGATAACTTTGAGGATAATATGCTGGCCTACTTTAAGCAATATCAAGACGCTCCAGAGGGTGACGCTTTGCGAGAAAACGGAATTTCTTTCCCGGGCCTCCAAGCCTTCTATGATGCCTGTGCCGAGGGCTCCCTTCCTCAGGTCAGCTGGGTTATAGGACCGCAGGAACTGAGCGAACACACTCCTAATATGCCAATAGATGGAGCGTGGCTACAAAAGAAGGTTGTCGAGGCTGTCACAAATAGCCCCGCGTACAAAGAAAGCGCTCTCATTATAAGTTACGACGAACAGGGAGGCTGGGCCGATCATGTAATTCCACCCGTTGCTCCCCAAGATGCCCCCGGCGAATGGATCACGGATCCGTTCAACGCCAACAATGGACAAGTTCCCATCGGTCCTGGTGAGTTTCAACATGATCTCCAGTCTGCTGCCAAGTCGAGTTACCGCATGACTGTTTGCGCCCCGATGCTGAACTGGCTTGAATAGGTCCTCGTATCCCTCGCTTCATCGTCTCCCCGTGGACGCGTGGAGGCCATGTATTCGCCGAGACCGGTGACCACACTTCTGATCTCCTGTTTCTCGAGGCCTGGGCTGCGGCCAACGGCTACGATGTGTTTAATCAAGGAATATCCGACTGGAGGCGCCAGCACATGACCGACATGGTGAACGCCTTTGACTTTGATAACCCCGACTACTCCCTGCCTCAGCTCACAGAGGTGCGCGACCCCGAGCCTCGCACCGATAACAACTGGAGCGGCAATCTGTCTCTGGGATCTCTCACGGGCGCTTGGGTTGGCCCGGCCAGGTGCAGGAACGGTTATGAGCATGGCAACTACCCGCCGGTGCCGTATGGCGAGGCCAATGCCGAGCAGAACATGGATGATCTTGTCGAAGACGGCTTCAAGCAGGTTCGGGGCTTCATTACCGAAGGCCGCTATATTACCATTGAGAGCAACGGTCTTGGCCTCGGCCACGCGGAAAATGGGCACGTCGTTGCTCTTGAAAGCGCCGAGGAGCATGATGATGTTCGACAGCGCTGGGTTCTCCATGCGGTCGATGGAAATCGTTTTGGAAACACCTTCCACCTCCAAAGTACCTCTGAAAAGTCCTATGTTTCCAAGAATGGAAGTCTGACGACTAAAAAGTCGGCGGCCAGGGCGTTTATTTTCGAGTACGAGGCTCAAGGGTCAACTTATACCTTGCGTGCCAAGGGCGCAAAGTCCGGCAAGTATGTTAGTTTGGGCAAGTCGTCTAAGCATGATCCCGAATATCGTGAGAATGCTGGCAAGATTACCTGGGAGGGTCATGGGAGCCGGTTTAAAATCTACGCCGTCAACTACCAATCATAGATGGAAATGACGAGAGATGATGTGAGCTTCTCATAGAGTCTATAGTTTCCCGCCAGTCGGTTGTCGACTTTGTTTACAGGTAGGAGTATAATGAAGAGCGGGCAAAGTGAGGCTAGGCCTGTATGCCACGAGTGAACACCGGCAATGTATTCAAAGACAATACACAAGGCACGCACGCGGCAACACTAGAAGCTTTATTGTATTTGGATTAATTTGAGATTCGGGAAGAAATCATGATGCTGTATGCGTAGAGGTTCTCCGCAACTTGATAGGGGGCCACTCAGGGTAACACAATATCAACCCAACAACGTTCCTTCTTCGTAGGACGAATCAAGTCATGTTGGGCTCAGGAAGGACCGTGCCAGCATCCCGGTCACACCGAATTACTCACAAGGCCTTCAGTGCGGGGATGCTGCCCGATGATGAATATTTCGCTGCCCGAACAGCACAACTGTCCTTGATAGTCCCATTCCCATTCCCATTCCCATTCCCAGCCTCCCCACGCCGTTTGTTCTCTTGCCTTTTTTTATTCACTCATCGACTACACATTCGTGTCTTCGGCTATATCGTCTTTCAAGGCCGCCAGTTGTTCACTCAGTCACATAGTCCACGCAGCAAGAAATAGTAACACGGAGACATGGATTGGGAATGGGGATTCGAGAACGGGAATAACAGCTCGACGAAGCTTTTCGAGGATCTTGCAAATGTCCCATTGCCGAGGTTCTTCCAATCAATCTATCAACCGCCCGGACAGATTCCCGGCGGCCTGTTTGTCGACGGGGTCGGCGATATAGCCATGCCACTCGATGAGACGCAGGCTCGCCAGATGATTGAGAAAGCTCGTCCGCTTCCACCCAGCGAGACTTCATACCGAAATACCAATGCTCCTATCCGAGGCAACTGGGTTCTGGATGCAAATAAGTTCTCCCTGTACCACCCTGACTGGCCTAGCTTCCTTCAAGCTTTGTGCGACCAGGCCTCCCGGAATCTAGGGATCAACACTCGTGTTACAGCCAAGCCTTTACAGATGCACATCTACGAGGCCGGGAATGTCCCATCGATAACAGAGCACTCGCCGTATGTTTTCATGTCTTATTTTTCTTATTTTGTTGCACGTCTCCTGACCCAGTTTGTGCAGTCTCAAGGATGAGCGTCCGGGCATGTTCGGTCTCATGCTCCTCTGTCTGCCATCAGGACACGAGGGAGGTGGAATTACTATGACATGTCCCGACAGGGATATTCCGTGGTTACGAACCTCGGAATGCCAGTCCTATGCCTGCTTCTACCCGCAATCTCTTTGCGAGGTGGCGAAGGTATGTTCAGGCTTTCTATGGTTTCTGGTTTTTGATATTGGCTTCGATCCGCCTGTACCACTGCCATTAAAGGCGGCCATACAGCAACCTATGGTTTACAAGCTTCGCGGCTCTCTGGAACGGTGGCTTTCGGACATGAAGAAGGATTCTGACTGCATGTGCGCCTATCATCTTCTTCACTATACCTACACCAAAGCCAATTTTTCCTTGCAGGGTCTAAAGATGCAAGACCTTGATAAAGTCCAGGCGTTGAAAGCTTTATCCCGCGAGTTTCCCATCGAAATTCTCCTGGTCGAACTAGAACACGAGGTGAGAAGTTTGTATTTCAACAAACATAAAGATGACGACGGGACCGAAGATGACGACGGGACCGAAGACGACGACGGGGACGTAGAAGAACAAGTCGATTTTGAAGAAGATCTTTATTATTGTGGAGATGATCCTGAACTTGAAATTGTAGCAGAAGAATACCACACGCAGGTGAAAGCTCTGGTAGACTTGGACGGCAACCTGGTGCTAAAAGGCACGGCCCCTAATGGTGTCAATCTCCGAGGAGGCTTTGTAGATCCCATTCTACAATTGAAGAAAATAAAACGCGACACGGTTTGTCTTCACAAACGCTGAATTCAGGGTAATAGCCAGAGGTGCTAACATTTTCATTCTTCACAGTCAGACGGATACGTGGTGAGCTTGCGTCAAGGAAAAGTATGACAATGGATGCTCCCACCCCTTTTCTGTCCCTGGGATGTCTACATGACGATGACGGCTGATTTCTTTAAAATCTAGGCTATCGCCATCGTCCCCCACGGTTCGTTGATCGGTTTTATTAAGGATGAATCAGATTTTGATGCGGTTCGTGAGACTCTCGACTCGATGATTCGATATTTCGGTGGACTTTGTGTGCATCAACAGGCCTCAGAGTCATTAGGGAGGCAAGTACTGAGACTCTGTGATTATGCCTGGGAAAAGAAAACCAAGCTCATACCTTTTCCGGACCGCAATCCAATTCTCACCGGGGATGCTATGTTTCTTGCCCTTCAAATCGCAGTAGGTCTCGAGGAATTCGGGTTTTTGACACGCGTTGCTGAGGAACATGACGGCGACCTGCCGCCTGATTTCTTCATTTGGCTTCGGCAATGGCTTCGATTTGGCGAGAATGGCGCCAAGATCCGGTTTAAAGCCATTGTAAATGGGCAAGTCTATTACATGGCGCTGCGTGTGATTCCTCTTTGGCATGCTAACTGTGGTAGAATATCCGTGGCTGTTTCGAATTACAAGTTCTTCATCGATGCGTTCAAGGCTATTGGAAACTTGGCACCGCTTTCGAAAAACAATTTTCCACGTTATGGGTCTTCCGAGGTTGAGTTGATGGAATGGGCTCGCAAAATGCTTTGCGAGTGTATTGATGCCTCCGCATCCATGGCCTTGGGCAACGAAGATGGACAGGCTATCGTGCGCAGTGCCTTGTATTTCCGTGACCCCCTCGAATTTATTTCTCAAACGTGCGTTCTACAAGGCCGCTTCACTATTTCGTATTATGCTAACTCGTTTGGCAGTGTGGCGCCACGGCTCGAAAAAAGAAATGACGCCATCGCCTTTTTTCTTACTTTCCGACACGAGATGCTACACAATGATCCCTTTGCAAAGGAGATTTCTCTGCATCTTCACCAGACACGGTCTCTCATACAGGTCATGGACTTCAAGCATGCGAGGAAAACATCGGTTACCGAAGCATACACGGACTTGCAAGCCAAAAGACTACAAGTCCGAGCAGTCATCATTCCTCAACTGCTGGCTGGTTTCTTCTCAGACGTCGTCCATATCAGCACCGAAACGGATAATCTCATGGCACTACTCATTTCCAAGATCACTGCGGGCGCTGCAAATATTAAAAGCACGGAATTTCCCACCTTGTGGTTGCCGTTTCTACACTCGATTATTCCCGTTTTACTCTCCCGCGGCATACCCCTGCACTCGGTGCATTGTCAAACTCTCTTTTCAGTCATTCTAAGCGCCTTTGTCAAGATATATGTAGGGAAAAAGCCTCTCAAGAACGCAACACTAGCTCTAAGCCATGTGCCATGTGGTTGCTCCAAGTGCGGGCGTCTGAATACCTTTCTTCGCAGCCCTACGCAACGTGTTGGATCATTTTCCAAAAATGCCGCAGTTTCCGACCACCTCAGGGCTCAGCTTGAATCCCTCTGGGACGCCGGCGACATTGCTTATGAAGAGGAGGAGTTAGATTTTAATTTTGGCACCAAGTTCACGGTAACCAAAACGGACCATGCAAGAATACTTTGTGAATGGAACTCGCGCCGGGATCAGGCAAGATTCCAATTGTCGCAATTTGACCCGCGTCAACTCCAGTTGTTGCTAGGTTCCCACTACTCTGCCATCTTTAACGTACTGACACAACTGCCCGGGTGTGACGATGAGATGTTATGGGTCCCGTTAGACGCGAAACTAACGCTCTTCCGTTGAGTCGCGTCTTTGCAGAATCGAGGCCTCTTTTCTAGGCCAGTAGGCAATTGCTTGGCTAGATAGAGGAGTATACACGTTCCTTTACTTAGTGAATCAAGAATGCTGAGGAGGCGAGCGCAGTGACGAATACAAGACTGTCTGAATGGTAAAGGGGGGGAAGGGGAGAAAATCGGCGCTGAAGTAGAGTAGTATAACTAAATTGTGAAGAATGCGAATGGAACTCCTGAATTATTTACCAACTGTGTCAAAACGAGAGGGGTATAGAGTGAATAGGAGATGAGTTTTCGAGTAGTTATTTGGGAATACATGTGACGGGAGTGATTGATAACTAAAAGTGTCTACCTGTAACCCTTCTTTACAACTGGCACACGGACTCGAAGTTGACGATAGTTACTTATGTACACAAGGACTCGATGACCTAGTTGAAGTCTTGGGCTTCTAGGCCTAAAGACTTCCCGCTGCTTTATATAGACAAGACGCCTTTGTCCCCAAGGGCCTTAAGAAGACTAAAAACGTTTAATATTCAAGATGATGAAGGCTAAATATGCCAGCTATTATGGACTTTAGAACGGATGATCTAGAAGCTGTTGAAAAAGTACTAGGCTATAAAACTATAATATACCGCGAGAAAAACACAGAACGTATTATAATACATTAATTATACTAGCTAAAGAAATAATAATACCATGTACTAGATTCCCCGTATCACAGAGAAAGAATATAAAACAAGACAAAAATTTATTTATATTTACTATATTCGTAAACACTCCCATTTAACCCATCTTCTTTTCCCCAGGAAAAAGGAATTTCGCTCATCACCAAGAATACTCCCTATTGTACAGCTTTCTCTCCATTCATGGCCCAATAACAGCATCTGACGCTCGAGCACGCGCATGCAAATCCTCAATTGGCGCATCAACTCTATAGTTCATCTCTTTGCTTTGGTCATCCAAGAACCAGCAGAGAAGGCAAGCAAGAGCCCCAAACGGAGCAGCTATAATAAAAACCACCCGAATGCTGTCTGCAAACGCCTGTTTCAGGGCCTGAATGCCAGCGGCGATGATTTGAGGCGTGACACCTTGAATTTGCGAGAGGGCCGCCATGTCCCTAGCCGCCAACGCCCCGACAAAAGCTTCCACTGACGACGCTGGGAGCCCGGCCTTGAGTGCGGCCATAGGCACCTGACTGGCAATGTTTGGCTGAAGCCGTTCGGTGAAGGCAATGCTAAAGATGACCGTAAACACTGCCACTGAGACAGCACGACTTGTGATAGCCAGTGCCGTTGCCGTTGCAATGAGCGCATGCGGTGTTGCAAGTTGGATGCCGGTAATAATCAAGATGAGAGGGCCACCAAACCCAATTCCTGAGACGCCAGCAAAGAACCAGGTGCTCAGCGAGTCGTCTGGCTGAATGGTGGCGAACCCGACGGTGCCGCCGGTAAAGATGAGAAACGCCACCGAGAGAGGAACTCGGATGGACTTGGCCTTGATGCTCCAGTAGCCCCAGACGAGGGTTGATATTCCGCAGGCGATCCAAAAGGGTTGGGCGCGCGCGGCTACTAGCAAGGGGTCTTGTTCAAATAGAGAGGTTGTCCTAGTATATTACGTTAGTGGCATATAGTATTCTGCTTGGAAATACTCAACTTACAGAACAGGGTAGAAGATGGAAAAAGCAAAGAACATGATGCCTTCGATGAACATGAGGGCGATAAATAGGGAAAAGGTTCGACCAGAACTGACCCCTTTGCGAAACAAATCGTGGTGTGCGATACCAACCTTGGTTCCTCTCCACTCATAAACAATGAAAGCTAGCAGCGTGACAAGTCCTATAATCAGAGTTGCAAGGACCTTTTTGTCCGTCCAAGCAAACTGCCCGCCTCCTAGGTTAAGTCCTACCAGGAATAGAGTGAGGCCGGAGGCAAAGAGTCCTACTCCAATCAAGTCAAGGGCCTTGATCTTTTGACTCAGAGACATTTCATTGTAGACGGTATATCGCTTTCTAGGTCGGTAGCCGATGAGAATAGAAACTGCTGTTAACCCCCACATGGCCATTTGCATCCACTGCCGCGAGTTAGAGATACGTCTTGTCAAGGGGTGGCCATTCCATTAGTTGGAGGGAAAATATGTAAAGGTGGCAACTAACATAGTAATTACGCCAACCATTCATAGGGTCACTACGAGAAAGTGCCCCCATGATGAGAGGCCCCGAGCATGCCCCTAGGGCTGCTGCAATGTTGACAATAGACTGCACCACTGTTTCCACGTTAGTTATTGTTCTACCTGGTATCGTCAAATCGGAGGACTCACTTGGCCTCCATTTCTTGGGCAAGATCTCGCTTGGCACGCTGTATGCAAGGGCCGTGGAAGAGAAGCCAAATCCAATTAGAATCTGCGCGACGATGAGTCGATATATGCTCTGTGAGCCAGGAGCAACAGCCGACCCGATGAATGATATCACACAGCCCACGACCAGGATTAGCTTTCGGGCTTGGAAAGTGTCGGACGCTGACGAGATGACGGGCGCAAGAACCGCTTGAACCAAAGACAAGGCAGTGGGAATCCAAGCCTGGGCAGCGGGATTTCCAAGACTTTTTCCCATATTATCTAGCTGAAGCAAAAGTTAGCGCTTCGAAATGGCACAGCCCGGATTGTCTCACTTGCCACCAGTGGAGGCCCTTGGAGGGCAATAATTTGAACATAGTTGAGAAGCAGCATGGCCACAACAGCAATGTAGGTTCGAAGATGGATCTCAGGCTCTTGGGAGGCATCACTGTAAACCAGATTCACCTGGCTGCTAGAGTTGGACTTTTCGTTGAGGCCATCTTCTTGGCGAGGTGTGTCGGTCACCATCTCTGTTGTCTTTGAAGTGCTAGTCGCATCCATGATTTCCATGAGCCTTTGTTTCGTCTTGCCAACATTCTCTGATAATAGCAGCCATCACAAGAATAAACCCCCTTATGGTCAGTGTTTATATAAAGGCAGTCAAGACTCAATACTAAGGCCCACAAAGTTGTCAAGTGTTTCAAGCTGTTGTGTGACGGCTTATTGTGGGTTGAAACTGACTCGATAAACCGGCTATTTGTGGACACAAATTCGACCTGCCAGACATCGGAGAAGGTGGGAGCGCGGCATCGTTGCATTCCGCAGGGCCGTAGGTCCGTGATGCAGTTGAGCAAGCGAAACCTGATACCCTAGCGTGCGTTTGCCACCGTACATGTTGGTTGCACAAAATACATACATACGGTGGCGCTATTGATGGAGGAATTTTCTATAATGAAAGTATTAGGCCGCGAAAGTGAGATGAGACTTGACCAAGCGTCAGCTCACAAAAGTCGCCGACACATGATTGCGGTGCACACCTTTTGGGAAAGGGGTTTAAAGTTTCGCATGTCCCAGAACTAGCAGGGAGTGAGTTCTCGCAAAGTTGATATTGTTGGATAATCTTGATTACGAGAATGGACGCGATAAAGCCAGCCTTGCCATCTCAAATGGCAAGGGTTCTTGCATTGGAAGTTGCCAAACCGATGTAGAATCGGCCATGGTTAATGGTGTCAGGGTTGTAGTTGTGTCTGGTAGAGCTAAGAGTGATATCGGATACGTCACCACTTCCTTCGCAGCTGCGGCGGGCACCGTTGGTCTGAGCGACATTGACGTAGAAAGCACAGGTAACGCTATGTACGGGTGCCGAGTTTTGAAGTACGCATAGCCCGTCGCAATGGTGGTGGCCGCTTCGTTGAGAAATCCGCCTTTGATTTGATCAGCGCCAGTAGCCACGGAGATACTCTAGCGCGCTGAAACGTTTTTGCGGTGTCGCTGGGCCAAGACGATAGGTGAACGAGGCCAAGGTTCAAGCCTCGCTCGAATTTGGTCCTCACCACAAAATGCCATGAGGGAGCTTGGAAACGCGATGTTCAATATTCCCCGCCAAAAGGAAACTGCCGCCGCCATCCGCCCCCACCATCCTCAACCTCGAGTCCACCATTGACCAGTCCATGGCTTGACCACTTGAACACTTGCCCTCTTCCTCAACTGCAAATACCGTTGACGACTAGATCTACAACACCGCATGCAAGGCTCTGGCCCATCCTCCGCCCCCCACGAATCAGCACAAAAGACATCCCCCGTACCGACCGTCGAAACCCCGTTGAATCCCCGTCGCAGCCATGGCCTCAACCACCTCCCCGGCCGCCTCCCTCCTAAAGCGCCAGCTCAAGGAGATCCAAACGGGCAAAGACCTGCCCGGCATCTCCTGCGGACTCGTCAACGACAGCAACATATTCGAATGGGAAGTGATGCTAATGATAAACGACGACTGCAAATACTACGGCGGTGCGCCTTCCCTTCAACCCGTGGCACTGCCCATGGCTCCGGTATTACCGCGAAACTAACGCTCTGCAGGAGGCAACTTTCGAGCCCGCATGGTCTTCCCTCAAACATACCCGCACATGCCACCGTCTCTGACCTTCCAAACGCCCATCCCCTTCCATCCGAACATCTACGAGAACGGCAACCTCTGCATATCCATCCTACATCCTCCCGAGGACGATGAATATGGTTACGAAACCGCCGCTGAGCGGTGGAGCCCTGTTCAATCCCCGGAAACCATTCTTCTCAGCACGATCAGCCTGTTCCATAGCCCCAACGATGAGAGCCCTGCGAATGTGGAGGCTGCGAGGCTGCTGCGGGAGGAGAGGGAGGGGAAGCACAAGGAGTTCAGGAAGAGGTGCCGAAAATGTGTTCGTGAGAGCTTGGGAGAAGACTAAAAATGATGAAAATGATGCGCATGGGAAGGGCTGGAGTTTCATAGCAGTGGCGTTTTCCTGGACTTCAAGAGTTGGTAGTCAGTCTGGCGCAGCCTTGGATGCCATTTTTTACGAGGTACACGGAGTTTCATGGGCTTGCAAACGGCATGTAAAATGAGAGCACTTGTTACCTGGTCATATCGGCGTGTTGCTTCATGGAGACATGCTTCAATTCCTCTTCGTTCCATTGATTTATCTAACGCACAGCTCCTGCCTTGGCATCAATGCCAATTATGGGGGCCATGACACGATCCCATTCCTCGTCCCATCGCAGAGACCCCTCCTCGACGGCTCCTTTTCTCAGCTGAGCCAACTCGCCCTGACCCTTCTCACTGAACAGTCTCTTCAGGATTTCCGTCAGTTGCGCAGCGGTCTCGAAGCCGCACCCGTTTTGTCCCTCCTTGACGAGCTCGCTGAAGCTTTCAAATGCACTGTAAGCTGCTACAGGCAAGCCGGCACCAAACATGTCAACCACTTTCATGGGCAGGTCAACTCCAGAGCTGGACTTGTGCAACGAAATCCCGAGATCGGCGCAGCCAAGGAGCGAGGCATAATCGCGGTTAGAAAGCCAGGCTGTCAGGATTTGGATGCCAGGGAGCCGCCCGTTGTCCTGGATCTGTTTGATCATTTCCAGGTACTTTTCTTTCTCTGGGCCCTTGCCAGTGATGATGGCCAGAACGGGTGAAGGCGGCTCGCTGGAGGCGTCGTCTTCGCTGGGGTTCGCATAGAGCACAAGTGCCTCGAGGAGAATATTGAAATCCTCGTCTGGAGTCCACGACGTACTACTGACAATGAGCCGCATTGTTCCGTCAAGAATGTTTCCAACGTGGGGTTTCGTCTCAGGCAGCCGCGAGAGAAATTCCTTTCTCGCTTTCGTGGAAGTGATTGGTTGGAAAAGATCAAGAGGGCGGTCGTGAAGGGTGTGAACGGGGTTCTTCAAGTTGAATTTCGGCCCTCGAAGCTCACGAGCCATGGCATCCGTGACGGCCAGATTGGCATTTCCAAGAAACTTGCCGAGGATGATCTCGTACCACTTGTAAAAGGGAACAAAAATAGAATACAAGGATTTCTGGGCTAAAATGGTGTGCCCATAGTTGTGCCAGTCGATAACGACTTTGCTTCCGCGGATGAGAGATACGATGAGAGCAACATGGAAAGTGGGAATCGATGGAGGGTTCTAGGAGAGTTAACGCGATGCAGATTTTTTACCAAACTCGTAGTCGTCCTACCTGAATTATGATCCATTTTGCGGCGGGAGTCGCCCACATCATGGTGTAAAACAGCGTCCAGAACTGCTGAATGACTTTGCACGGTATATTCAGGAAGAAGGGCAACGTGCCCCAGGCAATCCACTCTGGTTGCGGTGCGAGAGCATACATGGACACTCTTTCGTTGCCAATGAGGTCTGGATGTCTGGCAGTTTCTGCGAGGCGTCAATATCAGCAGCATCCTAATAGAAGATGGAAAAGCAGACCGCAAAACTCACCCTTGTATGCCACAATGTCAACCTTCCTGCCATGCTTGGCAACACTGATGGCGTGATACTGCATACGTGGACTCCTCCCAATATCGCCCAGGACTAGAATCTGGATGTGATCGTCTTCGGGTCTTTGTGCAGCTTTATAACGGGTTGGGATAGAGTAGTAAAGGGCCGAGGCTAGCCATTTGAGTGCTTGGAGACCATATTTCATCAGAAAAACAGAGACAACTCCCGCTGAAAGGGATAAGAAAAACGCTGCATCCATGATGACGGGCAGGCGGGCCGTAAAACTGAAGCCTCAAGCAATTGAAGCTTGGATTGACCACTGGCTTTGCGCAAGTCGTGCTGGTTGTGCGTATCCAAGCAAGTTGATTCAGTCACCGCAGTCCGAAGTGTCCTTTACATTGGCTCGTGGCGTTGGCTGGAAAGTTCGCAAGCGTCAAGGCCCAGCTCAGCGTGTTGGCTACCGGATGATGCTTCGCCCAAATGCACACGTGAGAATGCTGAAGCCTTGGTGGCCGAGACTGCGCACTCTCTCCTCACTGGCGCTGCCTGGCCTTTTGTCGCCTTCCAGGATGGGACAGCAGCGTGTTATCTGGGGTAGCCGTTGGCGATGCCAAGGAACGATACGTGGTTGATTTGGAGATGCGACACCCCTGGTCATCTGTCTAGCTTCTGCATGGTACCGAGCTGCTTTGGTGTAAAAGTGCGTGGGGCAGGCTGGTGGAGCTTGGTGAATGTCAATCGACTCTTCAATGCTCGCTGGGCCGGACCTCGCCGAGCTCTGTTGCCAACGAGTCAAGCAGCATGCTGCAGAATTGACAGCATTTGATTCTAAACAAAGTTGATGCATGGTATGTATTTTATGTGCTACTTCTGTAAAGACTGCCTTTCACTCGCAAGCAGCTCCCCCCACAGGAGAACATCTAGGGCAAACGGTTGCCACGGGGTATCAAATGTATAATTAATCATGTTTGCCATGTTAGAAAACACTACTTTTTGGATGATCCAAATCCGGTAAAGCCCATCTGAGCCATCATGTCGTCTTCGTCATGCTCTCCTTCGATGCGCACATCCTCACCATACTCTGTCTTGACCTTGGCAGCATCCTCTTTTTCTTTCCGCTTCTTCTCCGCCTCGTCTCTTCTTCGTTGCCGCCTTTCCTCGAGCTCCTTTTCCCTCTCTTCCTCTCGTATGTGCAGCCTTTCCTGCAGGCTCGTGGCCTTTTCTTTCTCCAGTTCTTCCTTCTTCCGAATATAGTACGAAATGCGCTCGTGAACCTCCTCCACTGTAGCACGTTTCACTTCCGTCGTTTGGCCGGTATTCAACAGATGCTGCGTGGTATTTAAATGTTCGATAAACTGCTTGTTGTCCTTGAATGTGAGGTCGCACGACTCGCAGTAGAAACCAGCGCTTCGTCCGCGTTTTCCGACGCCGGCGCCGGCGGGCACGAGCTGTGTCTTGCCGACTTGTGCAGTGAGATCGATGACATTTCGCCTGGCCGTGGTGTATGTCTCATCGCCCGTTAATGGCTTGTGGTATTTCTTGCCCGCGAGCTTTGCTTCGTAGCGCGCCTTTGCCTCCTCCTTCTCCTTGGCCTCGCGTTCCTTGGCTTTGGCCGCATACTCGCCCAGATCCCACGTCTTTCGAAAATCAGTGTCGCCAGCCGGGGCACCGTATGCGCTGCCCTTTTTGGAGTCGGTCATGATGGTAGCGACGCAGCGACCCGTGGTTGATTTCGCTGCGTGCCGTGTCGGTGCATTGTAAGACTGAGTTCGATCCGCCTACCTTGCTCTCGAGTTGGTGGATCGTTTTCAATGGACCAGGGAGGGGAGTGCTGCTGCTAGATGGCGAGAGATGGGTCTGGGACGCGCTGAGCTGCCAATGCAGGTCTATGAACATTACGGAGGACTGGTGCGTCAAAAACTGCCCCGCGGAGGGGCAATTTTTTAATGTCCTGCAAACGTCAACCAGTCTATTTATCCTTTTTTTTTAATATTGCAATAGGCGGAAACAGTTCGACCGGGCAGAATGTTGTATCTTGTGGGACTTGGTCTATCCGACGAGACCGATATCACGGTGAAGGGTCTGGAAGTCGTCAAGAAGGTGTCCAGAGTGTATCTGGAAGCCTACACCAGCATCTTGCTTGTGGACCAATCTGTGCTTGTAAGCCTTCGTCAGGACTGATCTGGAGAATTTGGCTAACGTTTTTTTCTTTTCTCCTTCTTTTGTTGCAGGAGGAGTATTATGGTCGCTCAATAACAATCGCTGACCGTGAAATGGTCGAATCAAATAGCGACGAGATTCTGCGCAACGCCCGAAACGAAGACGTTGCCTTCCTTGTCGTCGGCGATCCCTTCGGGTAAGCACACGGATGCTAGCCACCGCCCACAATCGAGGCTGATAGAGAACGCAGTGCGACAACACACACCGACCTAGTTATTCGAGCACGCGAACTGTCTATCCCTGTGCGAACTGTGCCGAACGCATCCATCATGTCCGGCATCGGCGCTTGCGGCCTCCAACTATATAACTTTGGACAAACAGTGTCTATGGTGTTCTTTACAGATTCATGGAAGCCTGCCTCTTTCTACGACCGTATCAAGGAGAATCGTAATATTGGGTTGCATACGTTGGTTCTAGTGGATATCAAAGTCAAGGAACAGAGTTTGGAGAATATGGCCAGAGGAAGACTGGTTTATGAACCCCCACGATACATGACTGTAGGGCAGTGCGCTCAACAGATGATTGAGATTGAAGATGAAAAGAGAGAAGGTGCATACACCCGTGATAGTTTGGCCATTGGAGCGGCTCGAGTGGGCGGGAAAACAGAGAAGTTCATTGCCGGGACTCTGGAGGAGCTTTGTTCGACTGATGATCTCCTCGGCCCCCCGCTACACAGTTTGGTTTTGCTGGGAAGGCGGACGCATGAGCTGGAACTCGACTACGTTCGGGAATTTGCTGTAGATAAGGAGAAATGGGACAAGATTTGGAAGGAGGACTATGGGAAGCAGCTTTGAAAGCCTGCCACTGCACAAAGGAAAACCTAAACTGCGAGCATTTTAGAATTTGTCTTAAATGAAGCAGCAGTTTTTTAGGTTTTTTTTTTGCGATATGACTAGCATGATATCCGTACTCTGAATACAGAAATCAGGCCTCTCATGGACAGGTAACTGGAGGGGTCAAGGTTCGCGACGTCGCAAATATCAAAGACATTCTATGGTCCAATGTACTTCGTGGATATTAATTACTGGACCTAGGTTTGGCCATACTTTATACAGATCGAGCACGAATACTATAGGCTGGTCTCAACCGCTTGGGTCTTGCATTCTCTCAGCATTGGGCGGTCGATCATGGCCTGCAGGTCGATTTCCCGAAACAAATCGCTGAGACATGCCGCGGATGTCATGTCATTAAGTTGAAACAAAAGATTCCACTGGTACTCCGTGAAAAGAAGCAAAGCGTACCGTCCGCTCGTAATTCTTCGACAAGACTAGTACTCAAAACATAAAAAGCGGCTTCCTCGGATTGGTCATTACAAGCAATCCACCATGTCGTATTCGAGTAATAATGGCCGACAATGCTGACCAAATACGACCGCGGTAGAGGTCTAGGTACTGGTAGTCTCGTACTATCACATGACGCAATGTAACAAATCATTGCGGCCTGTACTTGCAAACTTACGCCCTCTCCCGCCCTTGGTGGGTTCCAAGGTTATGCTGACTCCAGGAAGAAGGTGCGTCCGAGCCATGCCCGCTCCACTCATGCCGTTCATTGACTGAACCAAATAGCCACAACAGACCAATTGCGAGGTCTTTTGCTTGACTGTCGGGCAAGTGCGTCGAAGCGAATCAGCTGGAACGACCAAGAGGACCCTTGAGACAATTTATGTTCAACCCCGAATGCAGGTCCTGGTCTCAGTCTAGATGTCACAGCTTGCAAATTAATCCCTCTTTCCCAAAGTTTGTATTCTCTCCATCTACATCACCATTCCGTTCCCCCCTACAAAGTTGGAGGCACTCGAGCGAGTCTTCTCTGCAGCCTTAGCAGACGGACAGTGTTGTTTGGATTGGCGACAGCCTTTTAACCCCCCACTCGGTTAGTCGGTGGCGCCTGCTCACTTATCATCATCAATCCGACTTTCAAATCGATCCAGGTGAACACTCGGGGTTGCTCAACATCGTGCCGTTGATCCTGTGTTACCTTACTTGGTATTTGAGACTTGGATGCCAGGAGCCATGTGCAACTTTATTTACCTGTGAACTTCGACTTCTTTTTTTTTCGACAGGGTGCAGCTGGCAACGGCCAGTTCACCCACCGAAGGAGGGTTGTTCGCGCGTAGGTGAAGCTGTGAACCATCTACGACCCTCGTGTTGGGTTTCAATCACTCGCTGCCAATATTTTTTTTTCGGGAAGACTTCTTGTTCCATCCTCTTACGCCACTCCAGCTAAGTGTGTGGCCGGTGACACAAGCGAAACACGACGCCCTGATTTCCATTACCCTAATACGACTGAAAACCATAACTTTAACTTCAAAGACAGAAATTCTCATCATGGCCGGGTCCGCAACGGTATGACGCCAACTATCATTCTTCTGGGAGATGGTCCGGTTGTTTGCTAACTTCGACGCAGATTGCCTTTCCTTGGGAATGCCGTGATAAGGAAGACCAAGCACAGGCATCCTTTAATCACCCTATGAGACGTACAAACCAAATTCTTATGGAGGAGAACATGCGATTGAAGAGGATTCTACGGGAAAACGGCATATCCTGGTCACCTGTGGCTCAAGCACACTTAATACAACAGAACCCTGCTCTTCGGCGTCGGACTCGGGCTTCTATGTCCGCACACGAGCTTGGTTGCCCTAGTTTGCCAACGGAAGTTATTTTAAGAATCTTAAAATTCGCCATGAAAAGCCCTCATCCTATCATTGATCCCTTATCCAAGCTGTCTCATGAGCATCTTTCTGAAAAGGAAAAGGCGCGTGGCAATCAAGTTGCGATACATTTTCTGGCCACTTGCAGGGCTCTTCATACAGAAGGCACTCGATACTTTTGGGAGTCAAACAACTTCACTTTCACTACTCCAGAAGCACTTCGCAACTTCTCCGAACTGAGCTCCCAGTATCGGAACCAAATCACACATATAAATCTGCGCGTCATCGCCCGCTATTACGACGACCAACGCCGGAAGCATCGACTTGAGCGCGGCTATCATGCTGAACTCAAAAAGGATCAACTATTAAAAGTTCGGCTACGGCCAAAGGAACCACCGCTCATTAGAGGGGGCTTTCGATGTTATGCTTGGTCTCAGATTACAGACTTTTTGATGGCCCTCCGTGCACCGTACGACCCGAACTACAAAGACAAGAATAATCCTAGGCCTCGACTACTCCCAGGGCTTTTGTCGTTACGACTAGATCTCGTCAATTTTTCGGAAACACTTCTCCCCTTTTCCGGCTCTGAGTTGCATGAGGTTGCCTCCCATGAGTTGGGGTGCACACTTAACGAGCTTCAGGTAACAGGCATGCCATTCGACGACGCTGGAATGAAGGCCTCGGCCGAATTAAGCGGCATGCTAAAGGACGAGGGTCTATATCTAGATGGATCAGCATCGTTCGTTGCCCTTGTTAAGCAGCTGCAGCCACTGTCCGGTAAGCGTTGGTGTGCCAGAGTTGTCAGGGCGTTCAAGGGCAGAGAAGATGATGACGATTCTGATGAGTATGACGAGGATGATGAAATGGATGGTCCCCATCCTCACGGACATTCCCACGCTAGAATCGGCACCATGCCACCCGCTCCGGTCGAAGAAGGCCACCCGACATCGTCACGAGACCCTGACAAGGTGATATGGAAACAAGTCCCGCTCAGCCGTGATGACGACGCGCGAAACTGGGTACAATTTTCCCGACGAGGCGGGCATGAGATTGCCGACACTGATTGGGAGACAGATGACGAAGGAATCTGCCCGTGCTGTGGTGAGGGTCACCCTGGTTCATCCTTGCTGAGCTTTATGATGGAACAAGATGACGACGACGACGACTTTATGGATTTTGAGTGAAGGAACAATTTGGCGGTTGGCAAGTTATTGAAGCTGGCTTTTATGATGATAATATTTGGGCAGTCCTGGGGACCAGACACGAAATTGTGACGAAATCAATGTACCTGAATGGTCGGAACTAGGTCCCTAGCTTAGTTTTGACATTGTCAGTCATAGATATGCCCTTGGCTGAGGTTGACATGGGAGTGATATGGTTGACGAGACACCGTTGGACCGCGAGAAAGGGTTCCTCACTTGCTGTGCCGATTAGCTCGCAAGATAGTTTTAGCAGCCAAGTAGCAAGCGCAGATAGTAATAGAGCAGCGAAACAATCAGGGTCTCCGCGGGTTGCATAAATACCTAGGTAGGCATTGAGGCGCACGTGTTTGCATTCTGGGCGAGGTGTTTGAAAGCACAGGTATGCCCCGCCAGCCAGCACTGGCTGCGGGCCGTTAATCTGGCTGATGTCCCCATTTGTAAGCCCACCCCTAGTCATCTGTCACTTCGCGTCGGCTATTCTCCGACATCACCACATCCCCGGGCGCTCTGCAGCCTCTGGAATTCTCCCTACCAGGTCATGATCATTGTCAGTTCTTAGGCACGGATTTTTTACCGGTACTCTGAGCGCCCACGTTACTGCATCATTGTGCTCTACGATGAAGTTTACAAATTCCCAGCTGCAGCTTGCAGCCATGGCTGTGGCCATGCTCGCCACCACAGGCCTTTCGGAGCACACAAGCAATTGGGCTGTTCTCGTGTGCACGTCGCGATTCTGGTTCAACTACCGCCACTTAGCAAATGTATTATCTATATACAGAACAGTCAAGCGATTAGGCATACCTGATTCACAAATCATTCTCATGCTTCCCGACGATATGGCCTGCAACCCACGCAATGCATTCCCCGGCACTGTCTACAGCAATTCCGACCGAGCTGTTGATCTGTACGGCGACAATATCGAGGTTGACTATCGTGGCTATGAAGTTACGGTTGAGAACTTTATCCGACTGCTGACAGACCGTGTTGGCGATGAGATGCCTCGCAGCAAACGCTTGTTAACCGACGACCGAAGCAATATTCTTGTATATATGACGGGACACGGGGGAAATGAGTTCTTAAAGTTCCAGGATGCCGAGGAAATCGGCTCTTTCGATCTTGCAGATGCTTTTCAACAAATGTGGGAGAAGAAGAGGTTCGTAACTCGCTAAGGACTGTTGGGCCTGCTTTGGAAGTCAACGCTAACCTGAGACTTGACAAGATACCACGAGATTCTCTTCATGATTGACACTTGCCAAGCAAACACCATGTACAGCAGACTGTACTCGCCGAACATTATCGCCACTGGGTCATCCGAACTCGACCAATCATCATATTCCCACCACGCAGATAATGACGTTGGCGTCGCTGTTATCGATCGATACACCTATTATAATCTGGAGTTTCTCGAAAACCAGGTCAAGGATTTGAACAGCCCCAGGACAGTGGGCGAACTGTTCGACAGCTACGACTACGAAAAGATCCACTCCCATGCTGGGGTTCGGTACGATCTATTCCCTGGCGGTGCTGAGGGTGCGCGCAGCCGCCTCATTACTGATTTTTTTGGCAACATCCAAAACGTCGAGGTTGATCGCGACTCGAGCTCGTCCCTTGACGAGCAGCTACTTGCACTCAGCAAAACCATTGCTATTCTGCGGGAGAAGGAAGCTGAGGAGGATGCAGCCCCCAGGAACACGTCCTCTGTGCCGGCCAGTGTTTCCACTGAGCCAGTCACCAAGCTTCAAGGGGCCACAGTCCTAACAAACGATAAGTGGTGGAACAAGAAGGTTGTCGGTGCAACTGCTCTGGCTGGTTGTGGTCTGCTGTGGGCAATTGGTTCCTTCTTAGAAGTATAACTACGACTGAATGCTAATTTAATAAACATGAAAGAAAAAAATTTAGAAAACGCATGGCCTTGCCGAACCGAGGGGTATGTTTGTCAAATTACTGTTCATTTCCACAAGAGTGAACATGGGATGGCGTTGGTTAAGGTTGAAATGGAGAAGGCCAGGTTTGCTTTATAGGCACGCATTCTTTCCATCTGCTTTGTATACCCTTGTAAACTAGAGGCATAAAATGAGACTTGGTACAAATGTGCTGAACAAGGAGTAAAATGGTATAATGTATGGTATGTTGGCCCTTCACGATTGTCCCACTGGAGCTACCAAAAAACGGCCTTAGTCAGCAAAAGCTGGTTCGTTTTATCTCTGGGTGGCACCAAACCAACTTTTGTCTGAGAGCAAGACTCAGATAAATCAGTTCAGCTTTTATCATCTCTCCATATATAAAATACATTTTCATTCAAAGCGATGGAGAATACGTGATCTTCTCAAATTTGTAGGTCCGCGCTCATTTGCGCCGCAGAAACATGGATAGGTCAAAGGTGAGTAGAGCTGCAAAGAAATTTAGGTTCAGAACGTTGGCCTACTATCCAGCACGACATACGTCAATCGACAACAATGATTCGTAATGACAATCACTTTGCGAATTATCCTGCGCCCCCATATCCAAGCCTACTTTACAGCTCTCAAAAGTGGCAACACTCTTCCATGATAAATCACATCAAGGCTGATCGATGAGTAGGCCAGGCCTCTCGAACCTTTGGAGTTGAAAGCTCGCCCTTTGGCTTTCCACGCCATAGCTTGGTCATGCGATGCCGAACTAGCCGTCGCAACGGGTGACACAATTCACATTTTTCTGCCTGAATACCCTCGGGCGGGCAGCAATCCCGACGACCCTGGTGACGACGGCTTCCTCCAACCCCAGTTCTCTCTCACGCTCACAGCTTGCGCCATCGTCCGCCCGGACCCAGCTATCAACGGCCCGTTATGCGCCTTTGCTGGCGTGGCCTTGCCTCCTTCCAGCTCCACGGAGCCACTCGTATTCAAAGGCGTCGGGAACGCGGAAGCGACAAAAGCTGGCTCAGCCTTGGGGCAAACTCTCCGTGTGGAATGGTCTCCCAACGGCCTGGGGCAAAACTTGCGGCCCATCGTGACCGTAATGACCACCTCGGGGAGTATCGTTGCGTTGGGTGAGTATATTGATCAGAAGACAGCAATGTCATCGAGGTCTCGCACGAGGACATTCAGAAATTGGAAACTCCTCTGGGGCCTGGGTGCAAATTTGCCCATTCCTGACGGTGAGAGCAAGAGTGGATTCAGGAATATGAATGAACGGATTGTGTCATTTTCCTGGGCCAAGGAAATTGCTCCCGGAATGGGCTTGTTGGCGTACTTGAATGATGCCCGGGAAGTTGCCATTATGGGGATACAATTCTTTTACAAGCCCCCCGAGTCGGATGAGTCCTCTTCCGAGGTGGCAGGGTGGGAGATATTTGAGATTGATCGATTCGACGGAAGGGGACCGCATGATGTGAGTTTCCTAGAGCTTGCACGCCGGGGCGGTTCTTGCGATTGCTGACAATTGCAGGCTACCGAGGCAGCAGATCCGGAATTCGTCCCTACCGGAGGTCCCTTTTCCTTGAAGTGGAGTCCATGGCATATCACAAACGATTACCGCACAGCAACTATCGCCTACTTGGGGAAAAATCACATTGGATTTCGACGAGTCACTATACAAGGGCGCTGGCATCGAGGCCAAGACCCGAGTATCCGTGTAGAAGAAGCCGACACCACGTCGATATGTACTTTTCTATCTTCAGATGCGTTTGTGGAGTGGGAAGACACGGTATTCCTTGGTTCCAGGGGCTTGGTAGGAATAGAAGCTGACATTTGGCAGATCTGGCAAGATAGCAATGGCCAAATGGCCCGCGGTATAATTGCCACGCCGTTCGTCGTTAAACCCTTCCAAGTTGATCTCTGCGCAAATCCAGGTCCCCGTCTTGCGCCTCACTCACCTCGAGACTGCTCAACTTCATACCCCCCGCCTGATGAAATTTCTACAAATCCCATAACAGGTACGTCTACTTGAATTCCACCACTTTCCTTCTGGCGACTAACTCACCAGGCCTCATCATCCACCACCCCGATCCATCCATGAAACCCGCCGAGCCGCTGTACACCCTCATCCGCCTCTCTGCCACGCCCACCAACCAAGACTGGTACCAGACTAACCTCCCTCCGACAACCCCTTTCCCCCAATGGGCCGAACGCATTCAACGGTCTGTCACCCGCCAAGTATCCCGCGTCGAAGCCCTCGGCGGCATCGATTCCGAATCAGATACCGACTCTGAGTTCGACGAACCCGAAGTCCACGACATGACCCCCGTCTCCGAAGAAGCTGTCTCATCAAAAGTCCATCCTCACCGCTTTCGGCTTTGGGGCCTAGCCGCCTCCCCCGGAGACGGATCCATTGCGGCCCTGGTATCGAAGCACGCCACTCAGCACGCTGAGAGACGACCACGGTCAACAGTCTTGTTTTCATGGGATACGGGTGAGCGTACAGACTCAACGGTGCCCCATGTACCGAAGTTGACCACTGAAGGGACAATATGGGAAGCCATGTATGGGAGGATACTAGATATGCCGAGTTTCCTGTCAGGGACCACAGATAGGTCGTTAGTTCACGAGACGTCACTAAGGAAGATGTTTAAGGGTGTTATTCCAAAGCAAAAGTGTGTCTTCTGCGGGACGAGCCTGGTCATGCTTGGAATTGAGTCGATTTGCGAAAAGGGCCATTCTTTCGGTAAGTCGGACTGTTCTCGCTTTGGGTACAGATTGTTTGTTAACTTGCACGGATTTACAGCTACGTGTACTGCCACGGGACTTGCAATCATGGCTCCAGGCGTGTCCAGGGTGTGCTCGGTATGCGATTTGCGATGTCTGAATTTATCCGAGCTCTCTCGGATCGCGAAGGAGCACTTGGGACCATCTACGGTAGTCGAATCGGCGGGCGAGGTGTGCGGTGGATGTGGAGGAAAGTTCCTATTCTAAGCGGGCTGTACTCACACGATACTAGTTGGTATTTCCCATTGGAGTAGGATGAATTCAGCTAGTTTCAAAGAAGGTATTGTCGTCACGTCGCTACCAAGCTATGTGCAATTCGTCCCCTCCAGACATGGCCAACAATCATCCCAATTCCCCAAAAGCTTCGCAAGATGCCATGCGTCCTCATGCTACTTGTTTCGGAAAACAGAAATCAGGACTACCAACTCCGTTGTGACGGCCACAAAAGAAGCAAAGGGCCCATCTTCCGCCTTGAGAGCCAATTCGCCGGATGCCGCAGGACGAATCAGCACCATCATCAAATATATATCAATGATGTCACCACAACATATAATATTGAACAAACCTTGTTGCCCCATTCGTAAGAAAGCAAGTATACCAGGGCACATCCTTCACCTTCACAAAAGTGCACTTCAAATCCGGCTGGCGTTGGACCCATCAACCGTCCCGTCAAGGATGCAAGGCAGACAGATGTTAGTAAAGTGTCTGGTCCCGTAATCAATCACCGAGCACCACTGTGCCACTTCCCCTCCTGCAATACCCGTGAAACATCTAGGCACCCATCCTGGCAGACCTGTTTTCCCTCCTCTCTACCAATAGTACACTCATTCAAGTTCAGACTCGTGTTCCACCATCAGCCCATTCCATCGGCACACTATTCTTCAAGGGCCATAATGCCGCGCTTGCCTGCTACCGCGAGCAGAAGATGTCGGCATTTTCCTCCATAGGAACTGTCGACATTCAAAGCCGTGGTGTCGTCGTGCAAAGACGCGAGGGCGAAGGAGATTACGAGGTAATCCTTAGTGTATAGCAATGGGTAAAATATGTTGCTGTTTTGATCACGTTGACGAAAAATACTCGTTTGCTTCATTGCCTCGTTCGTTGACCAGAGTGAAGGCATGTCAGTATAACTGTAACCGGTTCCCACTCAGCCAACTTCAGGATTTGCTGAAGCGGGCTTGCTCTCTTTCGGATGTCGGCAATACGCAGATAATCAGCAGGCATCTAACAACTTGCTCACGGATGAACAGTAAATAAACATCTCAGTTACATTTATAATCCTATCGCGTGACATCCTGGAGGTCCTGCGACTCTCTAGCATCTACTACTTCATCATCCTCACCCAGTAGCTAACCCATCCAGCTAGAGCACAACACCAACCCAGCCAGTCCCGTGCTCAGACCAGAGTTCAGCTCTGATAAAGACTAAATACAAGTGAAGTACCTCGCATAAAAGCATCGAAGTCAAGCCCCAGATCGGTACTCGTCATCATTAAGCAGAGATCATCCGTGCCAGTGCATTGCTTCCATCACCAATTCCCTTGGTATTACCATACTCCAAGGCTCGCTCCAAAAATCACAAGGTTGCCGCAAAAGAAACCTGAAGCAGCTACAACAAACAGCAGTTGATAGTGGCGGTAAACCATCCATCATATGTGAACAAATATATCAACATCAAAAAGATAAAAAAACAAGCTCAAGGAAGTCAGGAGCCAATATTGGGCTGAGAATCAAACAAGGGAGATAGAAGAGAGAAGGGAATAGAACAAAATACAAAAAAATCTGCGAAAGTCAAAAGAAAAAAAAACATGGAAGAATATTGAGGCTTCTTGTTTCCCAGTAATCTGGTCGCCATCCCCAGCAAAAAAAAAAAAAAAAAAAATTATCAGGGTAATATAATATGATATCCATCCAACTGCCCATCATCTCAAACGCCATCCGTTTTTGATCCGTACTCCTCTTTTGACTCCCAAACCAAACTTGCAGAATTCGCATTTGTTCAAGTTGCCTGACCAGTTCGTTTCAGGCCTCAGTAAGCTTGACCTGGCACCGGCTTTCTGCCAATTGGCCCAGTTGGGGGCCCAGTAGGAGGACCTGGAGGCGGTGACTGAGCCGGATTCACACGTCCAGGTCCAACGGGCCCTGTCGGTCGGTTCATCCCAACTGGACTTGCAGGTTGGCTTCCGGGATGCACTGGCAGCGGTGGTGGTCCATTGAAGCGAGGTGCAGGGCTTGGGGGAGGTCCTGCAGGGCTCATGGGTCGAGGACTCGAGGTACCAGGGCCTCCCGGCCCCATTCGAGGACGAGCCTGAGGCGCCGTGCCCTGGGGAGTCATTGGTCTGCCTTGGGGGGTCACGGGTCGGCCCTGGGGAGTCATGGGCCGTTGCCCGGGTCCTTGAGGTTGGTTAGGACTTCTGGGATACTGTCCATTTGGGTTGACTGGAGGTCCAAGTCGTTGTGCACCTTGAGGAACTCGGGGCTTCACAGGGCGGGTTGACAGACACGTTCGGGGAACGACGCCTTGCTGAGACCGATCCAAGCGGATAACAAGAGCCCACCCATCATCGTACTCATGTAGGAGGCGAACGAGATCACCAGCCTTCAATTCCATCTCGTCGTCCAATGAAGGTTTGAAGTCGAGCTGAACCCTGTGCACATTGGAGTTAGGAGGCCCTCCAGCTGCCGCAATTGCTGCCGCACCGTTAGACGGAGGCATTGCCGCGCCAGAAGAAGCAGAAGTCATGCTGAACTCGGTTCCAGCAGGGCTGGGTGGTATTGATCCAAGGGTGGGAGGAAGAGTGAGGTCAATATTCCTCTCTGTATTGTTGCGCATAGAAGCTTTTCTTGTCAGACCAACCACTCCTGCACCAGCCGCAGCTCCGGCGGCAATTGCAGGGCCATTAGCAGTAAAAGGACCACTGCGAGGTACAGCACCTTGTTCATAGCTATTTGATTCCGAAACACGCTCTGCTTGGTTGCCAAAGGGGTTGGCAGGGTGAGTGCTCTGGCTAGTAGATGGGCGCTCCCGCATAGCATTGATCTTACTGTTCGCTCCAACAGCCGCGGCAGAGTTTAATGCCATGCCAGCACTCTTGCTTGTGCGTTTGTCCAGGCCCCAATTAGGCAGGAACTGGGTGACCGGTCGCAGACTAATGCGAGGAGCATGAGGATCACTTCGAACAGTCATGGCGTCGAATGCATTGGCATTCGCATTGGCGTAGGACTTTTCATTGTAGGCACCGCGGCGCTCACCAGCTTGTCGACGGCGACGGCTGAACAACAGGAACGCGACTAGGCCAACAAGAAACACGCCACCCAAAACACCAAAGGCAATGCCTGCTTTTGCTCCCGCGCTAGTACCTTCATCGCCGCTTTTAGCAGGCGTTGCATCGGACGTGGGTGTGCTGGAGACAAAGTTCAATGTTGGTGTTGACGTGGGCTGAGCGCCATAGTCAATCGACGGTGACAGGGCAGGACTCCCAGTAGCCTTGATGAGCAACGTCTCGGGAGCCGAACTACTCGAGTCAGGCTTGAAAATGGCGGTAGGCATTGAGAGTGTCTCCTTGGGCTTCGACTTCGTCGTGGATGTCGTTGATGGAGTGGGCTTGGGGTCTGGTTTGCTGGTAGGGCTCGAGTCCTGAGTTGGCTCTGGATTGGGATCATCATGAAGCGTCGAGTATCCGGCAATGGGTCCTTCGAAAGTTGGCGCCATAGTCTTGTAAACGGTACGGATAAGTGTTGGGCCATTGCCTATAGTTTCGCGTCAGCCCTAGATGCACGTGTTTGACAACAATGTCTGCAACGAAGCTGCAGGAATCACGCCTCGGCGTGAAAAGCATTCAGTCCAGAATAATGTTTACCTCCGCCTGTATCCCTTTGAGCATTCCCATTCGCGCTGCTGTCGTCTCCAAACGGGTTACGGAAGAGGTCGTCCATATTGGGCAAACTATCACGTCTCTCGTGATGATGCCGATGATGCGAGTGAGGCATCGTATCGTGTCAGGTCCAAGTGCTGAGACTGAAAAGGTGGTCAAAGATAATAATAGCGCGTGGATTCCCAGCCCGGTGCATGTATTTGCTCAGAGCTAGTGTGGCGGCTGGCGTATTGACTGACTGACTGGAATGTCAGGGTGGCCGAATACGAGGGAGACAAAGAATGTACCAGCAAACTATTGGTGAGGGGGTGGTTCAATGTCTGGTAGAGGCTGTGGAAACAATAAAAAGGAGGGACAGCCAGTTGGACCAGATGCCAAACGATGGAAAGGCTTTTGCCGATGCAAATGGAAAACGATGTTTAAAAAACAAGGTGTTGTTGTCGGTTGCGCGCGGATTTTGTCGTCGTCGTCCTGAGAGTTTCGCGAAGGATTGTGAAAAGAGTGCGAAGCGAGTGAAAGGGCTTGCCAAGGCAGTAAAGAATGGAACGAGCGGGCCGAAGCTCAACAACAGCAACGCTCAAGAAGTTATCGCATGCAAAGTGCAAACGAAGCCAGAGTTACACGCGTAAAGGACTGAAAGAAGGCGAGAAGCGGAGGAGCTGGGGAGATGGACGGGTGACCTGGTAAAGAGGTCAACGGGTCAACGGGTCAATGGCCGCAGAATCGGAGGGACGAGCGCACGCCAGGCCACAGTGGAAAAGTCGTCCAAGACCTGCAGTCGAGATGTCAACTCTGTCGTCTGACATCCGGGGTGCTCATGGGCGCCAAGGCGATGCTTGCTCAAGGGCTGGCACTCGGTCTGATGCCTGCATTCAAACTTGGGGTCCGTTCGCCGCGGTTGAGCTCCGCTTTGGGTATCGGCTACGTTGCCGCCCTAATTGAGCCTGTTCCTAGCCTGTGCCGTCCTCTCGTCGAGAAGCAAAATGCAAACAGACAGTACGGTACAAGCGGCATAACCTTTATGCAAGTTATGTCCTCTGTCTGGCTGTCTGGAGCCCCGTTCATGCGGGCCATGACGCCAGGCCGATTTTGCTGCATCGCACAGCAGATTCGCAGCTTTGCCAATGGCACTTAGCATGTTGCGTCTGACAATATTTCCGGTTCAATCACTGTGTTCTTCACATTACTCCGTACGCAATTCTTATTGACCGACATTCTCCCAGACACCCCTTCAGCTTTGACTCATAGGGGTGAGGCACGGAGTATAAAAGTTATTACTGTGGCTGCAGGTCTCACGCATTTACGCAACTTCAAAACGCTCACTGGCAGCTGAGGCACAATCCTGTCGTCGCCTCGTCATGAAATCAGCGCTCAGGTGCAAGAGTCGTGTTAAAGCGGCAGCGTTGGGAAACAAACAAGGGTCAAGGGCAAAGGGGTCACTCGCAGGGATCTTGCAGGCCCTAGTCCCAAGACGGCCAGGGGCAATGGGCGTTCATTGGCTGACTGCCAGTGGCTTCTGGTGATTGCCCCCAAAAAGAGATTGCTAGTCAGGAACGATAATCGCTCTTTCCCGCCTCACAGAGTGGGGAAAGTTCAGAGCGCCTGCAAATCCCGCAGGCATTGCCCTGGCCCAGGCGTCCCACAATCCATCCTGGTCAATATCCAGCTGCCAACTTCTGTCCTCTTGTGCCCTCATCACCCCCAGATACCATGTCCTCGGGTGGTCCTGAGCGGGAGCGGCATGATCCCGTCATAACCTGCCAAGCTCATCATGGCACTAGAACTCGTGCTTCCTCGGCTGCTGTTCGCCCTTCTGCCCAGCCCTCATGACCGAGCCACCGGCACGCCTGAGGCTGCGACAGTAGAGGCAAACCTTCTTGAAAGCTCTGTGCTGGTTAATATTTATTCGTCCTCGCCAATCTACCGCTTCTGGCTCTCTCTTGCCAAGATCATGCCGGTGCATTGGACGCCACCAACCTGCATGGCTGAGTGGTTCTGCAGACCAAGTTATCACAGATTACCAGACGAACCTGGTCCTCGTACCAGACGAGGGCTGTTAGTTCTGCGACCACAGGACTTGTCTGCATAACCTGCCAGTAGTACTCCGTATCCAAGAATCACTTACTTACCCGAGCCAAAATATCCCTCAGAGCAGGAAACGCCGCCAGCTGACACTGAGCCCAATGGATGATGGATGGATTTCTGTTCCTCCTTAGACAGGTCTGACAGGGAGACAAACATTGATCATACTCGCACATAATGTCTTGTCCCAATGTCTCTCATCACCTACATGAGACTACTCCGTATCTCATTAGTACATATCAAATCGGGTATCAGTCTCCCTTGCACCGTGACCTCATATGTGCTCAATCGTTGTTTGACACACATGAGCGACCAAGAGGAGCTTACATTGGGCCGTTTATTAATCCCGACAACCGTCAATTCAGGATTGACCAGTCCACTTGCACTTTTTTTCTAATCGTGGGGCAAGTCGCTCAGCATTGCTTAGAACATACGGAGTAAATATGTCATCACTTCAACCGTCGACACGCGGACAGACCACGCCGAAGCTAGACAGGGCTGTGAAACGCCCGCCATCCGACTGGCGATCATTCCTACTCCCAGTTAGCGTTGCATCTATCGGAAGCAGATGGTCATGTTTTGTGCTTTTTCCGCCTGTTGCTCGAAAGCTTTTTCGCCGTCAACGGTTGCATTTATTTCGGTCGCTGGGGTCAATCGTTTGCTTGGAACATGCGAAGAGATCTGGGGAATCATTTGGTAGTTCCAATCCGGTCACAAAATTAAACACGCCTCAATCACCATTCGGAACCGATTCTCGACGTCGTTGTCCAGTAAAACAATTTTCTCCGACGGAACGAATGGATGAACACACTACGGAACTAGCCGAGGTCGTTTGTTTTTGTTTCGTGTTTCATGATGATCTAATTCATTTGCTCTTCTATTTCAACAAACCTTGTTCCTGGTTTAGATCTGAGCGTTGGGGAAATATTAGGCCTCGTGGGTGAGATGGGCGAGAAATCGAGCCTTGCGCCCGTGCATTGTAGTAGCCAACCACCATGTTGCACAACTGAATTAATTTTTTGATGGCCCGAACTCTGAGTGTACATACTCGTCTTCATTTCTAGTACCATATGAAAGGTTGCCGGGTCTCATGTCGAAGTCTATTGCTTCCAAAACTACTACTTTGTGGCACGCATCTCTACCAAGTCAAATTGAGCCGTGGAGCCCAGTACGCCCTATGGATTAATCGTCCTGCATGTATGAAGACCAGCTTGGTCTCCTCCCGTCCTTTCTGGGGCGTGAACACGTTTCACCTGATTCCTTCTTCAGTTCCTTGCATACAATGCATTCTACTAGATCGGCCCATGTGTAATGGCGGTGACAGTTACCTGTGCGTTTGATCCCCCGGCGCCTTTGTAAACTGTATCCCGCAAATGCGATAATATCCTAGTACTCCGTGACCTGGGACTTGTCAGTACTAGCATCTAGAGTCAAAGAGCAAGACACGTGGGCGATGGACAGCATAAGGTGTACATCTCAGTATGCCTTGATGTTGAAAAGGTGAAATAGATCCTCAGGCAATGCGATAAATGGCAGCATCTGGCCAACGTCCCAAAAGTTCCGATAGCCCGCATCCATCTGTATAATATCTAAACAAGTCCTCGAATGCGAGTGTAGCGAAGACAGGGCCATGCATGATCCAAGAACATGATAATAAAGCGGCTGCAACATCAATCATCATGTCTCAACAGGAATGCACGTTTCCCATCCCACTGCCATGGCTCAACAACTCACAACATCCAAAAGACCCGTTGTGGGAATATAATTCCTTCGATGAGCCTTCACCTAGCAGGATCAATTGCAGGCGCTGCCCGGTCCGGGACAATATATAAACTGCGACATAACAGCTAAACCGGGAGCCGGTACTACGATCACGCATATAGAAACCATCTCGTCAAAATTACTTGTCGCTATCGACATGCGCGACCCATGACTTGTCAGGGGCATGCAGGGCACGTAGCTAATACCGGACGCAGATATTAAGGACAGGCTATTCGTAAGGGCAACATGAGCATACATATGTGTTAATGTATTTGCGATAGAATCATCTGTAATATCTGCGCGGCTTACCGTCAGTCTCCATCAAATTAACTTCAATAGAGATTTAGTTTGCGCAGATCACTCGCACGTTGTCTGCCAAGTCGGACCGTTGACACCACAAACTCTCCGTTCAGACAAGGAACTGGACGTGGGGGTACGCGCGAACAGTCAAAAGATGGCTTGTTTTGGTGTAGAAGAACTGGTTTGCATTGTCGATGGTGTGATGTTGTCTTGTGGTCAACAGGCTGAAACGAGGCCCTCCCTCGCCCACTCGAGACCCCGTGTGATATCAATTCAATTCTACTCAGAGGAGCAAGGGGCAGCGAGATACCTGTCGCCGAAACAATGGAGGAGAACGCAGAAAACCAAATCTACGTGCCTCGGATTTTCAGCCACTCCAGGTGGTTCTGCACGAGGCCTATCAGTAGGAACCACTGCAGCAGGGACATCAAATAAGGCGAATGAGTCGTAAATTGCAAGTCTATACATTTATACAAACGCATGTCTACGAAAATGCCACACTGTAATTGCCATGCCAGTAGAACAATGACCCAAATCGACCAGATCCAAGGCAATCCGCCTCCCGTGTCCAGGGTATATCGAATCAATCATCCGCCTCCCGCGCGGTGCAGTCATAAAACACAGAGCCACCCAGCCGCAAGTAGATTCCATCCACTACATTGAATCTTCCATTTGCCGACTTCTCGTCTTGGACCAGTTATCTTTGTCCTCCTTGCCTCCTTGGCTTTCCAACCCCATGCCTCGCTCGACCCATTCTTTGCTCTCCATGTGCTTGAGCCGACTCAGTGCTCGCATAAACGCAAACGCTTCTTCTTCGCCTGCGAAAAGGTTTGAATTCTTGAGCTCTTCGGCTTGCCGGTCCACGTCTTCCATTAGTTCCTTGACAGTGGACACCGCTTTTTCTCCCTGTTCAGTGCTCTGAGGGTTATTTTTTAGCAAACTCTCTGCAATTTCGTCTTTCGATATGAAGAGCTCCGTTAGTGGCTTTTCCGTGGTAAGGACTAGCTTCGCGTTGCCCTCGTAGACGGCGTCGATGAAGGTGATGAATCGACGGGCTAGGTCGCGCTCACGGATTGTCATTCCTGGCACCTCGGTAACGATGAAGGAGTCATATGCGCGCACGAGCTCGAGGTAGTCGGCGGCGGATTTCGGCTGTCGTATTAGCTCGTCAAAGGTGAACCAGGCGCACCTGCCGCTGACCCGGGGCACGTAAATTTCTCGTCCCCAAACCTTTTGAGTCTCTGAATGTGGTGGGTTGTCTGAAGAATCCCCAAGGAAGCGAAACCACTTCTCAGCATGAGAGTTGGCGTGGGCGTCGAGCGGGGTGTGATATACTCCTGACGGCGGCCGAGGTATTTTTCGATAGTCTGTAGGCGAGTCAAGATTGATAACATGTAGTCTGTTCTTTAGGAGCTTGATGGCGGGGATGAAAGACTCTCGTTGAATGCCATTCTTGTACAGGTCATCCGGGTGACGGTTGGATGTCGTGACTAGGACGACACCGTGGGACATGAGACACTCTAGTAGTCTACTCAACGTTTAGATTAACCAAGAGCTCCGACATGGAAGCTGAACAGGTGGTTTTCGGCTTGGGGCTATCAAGACATACCTTCGCAGGATCATGGCATCTGCCACATCCGTGCACTGAAACTCGTCGAAACACAGTACATTTCCGTGCTCGGCAATATCCGCTGCCACAAAGGGCACGGCGTCCACATCCGTCCCATGCTGCATTTTCAATTTATGCAGTCGCTTATGTACATCTTGCATGAAGTTGTGGAAATGGATTCTAGTCTTTGTCTTGACGGAGCTTGGGAGCGTGTCGTAGAACAGGTCCATCAGCATCGTCTTGCCGCTGCCCACATCGCCGTACAAATACAAGCCACGAGGTAGATTGTCTGGGATGTCGCTAATGGCAGATTGTGCTTTACCATTTGAGCCAAATAGTGATGAGAAGACTGATTTCCTGGCTGGCTTCAAAAGGTCAAGGCTGGGGTGTTTAACTTCAGGGGCGTGATAGTTGCGCAGCTCATTGTACAAATTTTGCAAACTTTCAATGATACCTGGATGAGGAGGAGCGTTAACCTCGGCCAGGAAACATTGCCGGGATCTATTCCCATATATAGGACTTTTCTTCAGCCTCACCTCGTTGATGGTCATCATCCCGCAAAAGACCATTCTCTACCCGTCTATCATACTCTGCTAAAGGGCCCTCTCCATGTAGCTGGCTTTCCACAATGGTTGCTGCGGTTCGAAGGCCTATCGTGTATGGCGGGAGCGCAGTTGGCGCCGGCAGGGTTGTCTGGCATGTCGGGAAATGTTTGATGGCAGTCGGCCGAAAGCCTATTCGCCCGATGCAAGAGGAATATTGTCCTGTAAATCGTTGGTTGCGAGAATGGTGTAACCCAGCTCGGAGCTGGCGTGCCGCACCTCTTGACGACGCAACGCCGCCTCGCATCATGGATGACTCTACGGAATGCAGATCAGTCGAGGTTGCAGGGTTGCAGGGCAGCACGAGTGTCAGGAGTGTGCCATGAGGCTAGCAACCGGTCTGAATCGAAGAAGTTGTGGTGCAGCGGCGACTCAGTGATTTGACGATGTGTTATCCATTGTCGGCCAGTTGGTGGTGGTTCCGAGGCGGAAAGAAATGGAGCTGACAAGTCCTGCATGTGAGTTGTGGAATCTGATTATCTGACTAAATCGACGGCACCAGTGGGCCAACCGTTGACCGTTGGAGTCGCCGCGCCACAGGGGCAATTGGAACCCTCGGAGCCAAAACAAGGGCCGTGATGACATCTCCACGGGCTGGGCCAGCGAAGCCGTCGATTTACCCTAAATTCCGACTACTAGTACAAGCAACCAAGATTAACTTGTCATCAGGTTCCTAATCGATTGCTTCATTCTCTTCACTGCCCCTCCTTTGTTGGCCTTTCTGTTCAACGAGGATGGGTTTATTTTCAGCCTGCTCGTTCCTGGGACCACTTGCGGAATTCGTAGCATTTTATTAATAACTCAATTACCCAAGCACTTGATCTAGACGCCACGCTCAAGCACCGAGACATAGCAACAATTGCTCAAATCTTGACAGGCATTCCAGTACACCCCGAATAGGAAGAACCGCATCCATTGCCAGTCTATCATACATGATGTCCGAAATTATTTCACGCACTCAAAATGATAGCTCCCCAGGCAGTAGCCAGTGCTAAAAGAGAAGCACGCAGAGCACCAGCACCGCTCTCATCACCCTTGTCCTTGCCGCCGTTCTTGCTGCCACTCGAGCTCGGAGACGTGTTTCCAGTCACATCTCCGCCATAAGGGGAATTGCCAGGAGTGACACCTCTAGCCAAGCCGCCGGCCCTTTTCTTATAGTCATCTAGGGTTTCTGTGCCGTTCGGATTGACCATGCCGACCATGCCTTTCGGACACTCATCACCTTGTGAGGAATAAAACGCCATGGGATCTGTGTTATTCCATGTCACACGGAAAACTTTATCCTGAAACTATGTTAGCTTTTCACTCAGCGTGCATTCGCGACAACAATACGCAAAGACCTACTCCTTCGCCGCTTTCTACATCCATATACCCAGAAAAGAACCCGCTGCCTATGGGGAGAGGTGAACAAGGGTATTTGTAGTCGCCTGCTACAACACTGTGGTTCTTAGGTTGGAAGTGAAATTCAAGAATATCGCCCTTCTTTGCTGTGACTGAGTTTGGGTTGAATGTGTTGTCGTTTCGCGCCGTGATTTTGATAGTGTCCGCCTGGGCCACAGCCACCAATGCGCAGACCACGAGCGACTTGAAAAGGGCAAACATCGCTGCTAGTTCTCGAATGATGATTGAAATGTATGTCGTAAGCTGTGTGGTTTTCGTCGTTGGCAAGAAGAGGGAGTGATAGGTGCGAGACGGGATGGCACCGACTCTGGCCTTTATACCGCTCCTTGTGTCACTGCACGGAATATACTCGGGAATTATATGACGAGGAGAAAAGCTGTTTCTAGGGCATCGTATTTTTAGCCTCGATACCTACCCAAGTGCCAAGTGCGTAAATAAGGAGTAGCTCGGTACCCTGGAAACACAGAAAAACAAAACATGGCCAAGGATATGACAGGGCACCACGTAATACGGGGTAGACCAGGCAGAACGTGACCACCAAGATGCTGCCACGAACAAACTGTTTGAAAGCAGCCAAGTGTCATTGGGCTGTGGCCCAGGACGTGCTCGGTTTTCTAAAGTTAGAAAGTTGGGCTCAAATGCGTCATTAGGTAGCGTCTGGATTCCATCAGGATGTTGATACGGAGTAGCTGAACAAAGCCGGTACAGCAGTCGGTGACGCTCCCTGAGCCAGACGGAAGGAGCTACCCCGGTGCCAGCTGCACACACACTGTGACACAGCGTGGTGCGCGCTCTGCCAAGCCCTTTCACCCCTGTCGTTTTGTGTGTACAAATGATCAATGTCAACAAATGGCATCTGACTCTTGTGATTGTCTTCTCTAACCCCCAACTTATCATCGTTTGACTGGCTACTTTGTGCTGTTCTGAACCCACTCACAAAATTGGGAACAATATCGTTTCTACCGAGAAGTCTGACCGATTTTTATCTTCCATCTTTAGAGTACTGACACCCTTGCTTTTGATGCACAACCCCGGTGCCCCACGATAAATCTGGATCCGTACCAGGCAACCAGAGGTCTCAATCCAAGAGAATGATCCGCGTTTCCTTGTGCCAGGGAATAAAGCTTGCGTCACGAGACATCAGAACTGATCAATGTTTAACGAGGCATTGCCCTAGGGCGAGTGTCCCCAGCCGACCGGGGACGCACGAACACAAGACCCCTTGCGAGGCACAATGCTTCCCTGCGCCGACCGGTCTATTTGATGGATTAATCATTAGGTTACCGGGCCGGAGGTGTTGAGTGACGCCTATCTTCCTTTTCAGTCATGGTAGTAGTTAAGGCACCAGCATACGGCCCAGCGTCTTATTACGTGGTTAAGCACTGTTTTTGTGCGTGATCATCGTGAATACAACCATATTAGGTTACAAAGTGAGTCGCGGTTTCGTTTCGTCATCCTTTGTTCACTTCGAAATTTGGCACCATCGCGTAATACGATGTGAACCTTTGTTGCGAGAGAACGGATCAAACACGTTTTAAAGCAGGGGCTGACTGTGTAACAATCTTGTAATTACAGAGTCTTGCCAACTTCCATAAAAACTGTCCCGTCACTGCCGGAATGAAGAGCCCTGGCCCCAATACGAAGTACATACAATACTAAATGTGGCGAACATCCATGAATGGATCACCAGACTGGATAGTCAATAGTAAACGGAAATAGTTTAACTTGCCAGATAGGTCTTCTGGGGTCGGAATTTGCCGAAGGCAGACTGAATGAATCGCAAGAGGCAAACCAATTTGAGTTCGAAATTAATACCACTGTCATTTATGCACCCCATTTTCAACGCACAATTGACATCATGCGGCCCCCAAGGTTCTTGATGGGCGCAATCACGTCTTTCCACTCTGCACTCCCTGCGAAATCGAAAAGTTATATCTGGCATAGAGAGGACGGGTTCTCTTCCTCTGAGCCATTTCATCTCACTAAATCAAGCATCCAAGCTTGAACTATTCATCTAGGATAAAATTACTCAAGCCTACCAGAGCAGCATACCAAAGTGGCATCAGCTAGATACAGCTCTGGTATTAAGAAAAAAGTGCTAGATGCACAGCTACATGAAAATACTTTCGATGCTAAGTCGGATTTCGCGGTGCTAATTATTCGCCGCAGGCATACGCAACTCGGATAATTTGTACGACCAGATCCATTTTGTCTTGAGGATCAGCAGAATGCTCGATCTTTTGGATTTTCCTTGCGGCGTTACCATCTCGGACTCAATTTCAGTAGGGGTATCTAAAAAGTGACCAAAAACACCTTTCTGTCAGTACTGACATCTGCCGCTTGGTAAATTGTGTAACATCCTGAGTTTACGACTTAAACGTTTGTTACGCTGGCTCGCGTGGCTCAAGGAACCCTGGATGTGGTTACCAATAATACAACAAACAGACACGATCAAGTTACGAAGAGGGTCAACGATAACGTAGGTTTCGTCTGTTCCACTACGGAGTACATCTGGCCTCATTTGAGGCAAGTGCCGCAAGTATGTTTAGAAAGAAATCTATTTACGATTCTAGCTAAGCGTATCATATGTTGCCCCCAAACCTTTGTCTCTTACTGACCCTTAAATATATGTAGGAAATCGATGTATATGGAGAGTAATAAGCTACTGAAAGCAGTCGACATCACAAAAAAACAACTGGGTTTAAGTGCAGACCGCATCCTCTTGGGGATTAAGCCGATGAAGAGAAGTGTATATGCCGACTACATATTCGATTCTGCATTGAAACTTCTGCAAGCATATCATACTAAATCTCATGTTACTGCAATACGGTGGCGAGCATATCACACCCTATTTAATTGCTGGGAAACGGTCGCCCCAATTCAGGTCTCACATTGCGATCACCGATGAGGACTTTCAGGTTGCCCGTATTGAGGAGAAGAATCGTTGACATGTGGGATATGAACCACAATCTTACCTCTTCATCCCTTTTATCGAGCCAGAGATGTTTGCTTATCAAACAACTACTAGATATCATGGCGTGGAAACCGTCTCTTCTCACGACCAATACACTGGCGAATGCTGAACGCCATGGTAGCATGTCCACGCCTTTGGAGCCGTTGCCTCTCCTACCGCGGTTATTCTCCATCTGGGTGCGACCAGCTGACATCACTTGCAACCCACCCAGCTTATTACAGTTGGAAAACGAGCGGCGCAATGGGTTTTAGTTCTCATGCTAGACCCCCATGCCATCGAGCAGGTCCGCCAAGGAATTGAGTCCCGCTGTCCTCAAGGGACGAAGGATTCAGCCAGCTTCGTCTCCATCTTCGAGTACGATACTTTAAAGTATAACTAGTTAAACGAACTTTTGTGGAAGAAGTTTGGGCTCCGAAGCTGCTATGATATTTTCACCCAGACTTATACCTGTAAGGTCGACCTAATCATCGCCAACGCCGTGGTAGGACTTCGATTCACAGCTCAGAAGATCACCGAAGATATACGACTATACAGTCTAGCTCGCGAATCAATGAGCAATTCAAGCAAGCATATC